CATATTGCGCTATCTGACAATGCCCGGAGGAACATCCGAAATCAGCTGCATCCTAATTTCGAGATTGCAGAGCCTGCCCGTCCATTCTGTATGCGAGCACATAAAACATGACTGACTCCCATCCACGCCTATCGCAACACGACTCTAGTTTCTCGTGACACCTTGCTCCTCCCGATCATGTCCATCGACGGGAAAGACCTCTATAAGCGGTTCAGTCTTGGAAACTTCTTGGCACTGGACACGTGCCGCTTCCGCCGGGGAATGGAGTTCGCTTTTGGGGTCGATTCTTGTCCCATCGCTGTGCTAAACGTGTTGGGGCAAGCCAAAGCAGACAATTCAGCAATTCGGTCACGTTGCCGCTGGCATTCCCAAGCATGCCAGGCCGACACACACGATGATATCAAAAGCATATCCAAAGTGATTTCTAGCAGCCGCAGTTCAGCTCAGATTCAATCGCAGGATACACGAGGATCTGCAGCTTGGGCGCGAGGTGCTCCGGCGATCTGGGCACACCGCAAATTCCAGCCCGTCTCATACTGTACCAAAAACACCCAGTGAAATCACGATGAAAGGAACTGCTATGAAATGTCACCAAAGGTTTCCTGGAACGGCAATTAAGACGGGGTCTTACAGTCATCCCCTGGATGCTGCGACAGTTGACTTTTCTTTGCACAGAAAGTTTGCCAGGGCTCAGGATGTGAATCAAGGTACAAATAGCTTCCAAGTGGAGAGGACACTCTGGAGCTGTGAGCTATCTGAAGGAACATTACCTCAAAGACAAAATGCGGGGGCAGTTCCGTGCAGAAGTCTGCGCTCAGTTTTGGATTGCAGTTGAAATCTCGACAGGGGCGCTGAGTAGACATTCTATTGGCGGTCATCTCGGCTCCTATGCCACATGCATGGCACAGCGCCTGCCTCAGCGCGGCATAGGAGGCCAGGTGCCCTCCTGCCTCACACGGGCAGGGATCCAGAGTCGAAGCCAGTTCCTGATATTTTCTGATACTTGTCGTGCCATCCTAGCTCGAAACCGTGAATGTCGAATCATTGCTTCGTCACAAGTTGCCAGGGTTCGGCTACAGCATCAGAACTTGTGCGGTCGACTGCTGGCGCACCGAGAAGCCAATGACGGCAACTCGCGATGCGTCGCAGCCCCAACCGTGGGCCTGGATCAGAGTTGAACTAAGCGAAGATTCCTCGAGCCATGCCATGCCATGCTACTTGTAGTGTCCCAAAACCTTCTGCCACCTTACTCGGATAACATGCCGAAGTTTGACGACAGATCAACTCATCCCAACAGAAGATCACATGAGCAACGGCAGCACTTGAGATCCAGCGACCTTCCCAAACAATATGCAACAAACACTTGGGCACAGAACTGTCGGCAACACCTGTCACGGATGCACTCGAGCACGCGGCTGACCTTGCGCTTCACAAGCATGGCGCAATCGAGCCAATCCTGAGAACACAGAATCACACATCCGCCTGGCTGTAGACTCCAGAAGCTCGCTTCGCTGTTCCAACCCTCCGCGCAATGAGCCCGTGTATGCAGTTTTCGATCGCAGAGACCTGTTTGCCATGGTACTAAGTGACTGCGCCTCTTACAGCGCAGAACAATCAGAAAGCCATGTCTCACAGGCCCCCAGCCCTGCTGCCAGTCCTGGAATTGAGCTGGCCAGTAGTGACCCCTGCAGCGGTCACGATTGAAGACCCGGATATTCAGCACGAACAGTGCTGGATGGCAGGCACCGCCGGAGAAACTTTCGACAAATCTAGAGACGATCCTCTGTAACGAATGACCGCCATGCAAGGAGAACGAGGCCTCGAGACGCAGCGATACTGCAAGACCTGCAGTGGTCCGCAGATGTCCGCAGATGTGCAAACACATCCACCACAAAGCACACCATGAAAAGCTGTGGTCGCCTCAAGAAATCAAGGACTGGAAAGCTGTAAAGTAAGGTGTAAAGTCAATAGAAGCGAAGCAGCATCGAAGAAATCCTTCATCCGAGGTCACGGCCACGGCCGTCGCTCCGTTCTGGGCCAGCCTCGGCAACCACTTGAACTCACATGCAGCGCCACGTGCAGCGGCCGTCCCCTGTGCGAAGCTCAGCCAAGCGACCACTGAGCCTTGGCGGCTTCGGGGGTTGTTCGGTGCGTCCCCTTGAATTGAAATGTTTGCTTACAATCAGCACGGAGTCCGACCCCTGAGCTTCTTCGTCTCAGGCAGCTGAGAGTGCGTCTAGTGTTGTCTGAGCCCAAAGGCACTACATTTTGAATCAAAGTGGCGATCGGCTGGCCTTCCCCACAGAAGATGTCTGACTCGTCGTAGTTGCCGCCAGGAATCTGGGATCTTCAGAGTTTAGAGTCCACAGCACGGGAGTCACTTCTTTGAACTCTCTGCTCGAGCATGCTGCAGAGCACTCAGCAAAGCACCACTATGACGATGGCGCCCGTCTTTCGCTCGGCCGGTGGATCGTATCGAACACACATGGCCTGTACGACAGCTGCAAGACTTGCGATTCGATCCGGTCGATCCGGCTCCGTCGAATGAAACGGGCACCTCGTCGAGGCGAGGGTCCGCCTCCGGGCGCAGCGCGTAGCGCCGAGGCTGCGGCGGCTTCTGATTCCTGTGATCTACGGAGTAAGGTGGGCCGGGACAGCGTGGCAGGAGGAGAGAGGTGCGAGGCGAGATGTGCCTGTCTACAGACGCGGGTTTTTCCGAAATCCTCCTTGCAATGCAGGCCAAGCTAAAACCACGGCAAAGTGGATTGACAGCATGCTCAAGGCGGCACCACACTGGGTGAGGCGAGCTCCGAGGGTGCAACTTAACTCAGCCATTTTGGGAAGCTCAATGAAGACCTGAACCAAGCTATAAGCTGAAGTTGAAGCCAGTCCTGTCTTCCCGGCTGTCTCCTAGAGTCTCTTCATCCTGACCACGACTGAAGCTCATGTTTGAGTTGTACTTCGATATCTTCAACTTCCATTCATCGTGCGCCTACAGCGTCCCTGCCCCAACTTCAACTTCCAAGTATCAGCCTTTTGCACATCGACAGAGTTGGGTTTCCATCAGGGACAGCAAAGAAGCATACAGTGTGCCTGCTTGACATCTGCGGGCCTGTGCAAACATGCTGAGCATCACTGCATGCGGACACTCACGAAATGCCGTTTGAGCACATCTAAGCGACAAGCTGCTTTTTGAGCAGAACCCCGGCGAACTCTTTCATCGCAAAATGTGGAGAGGAAAGGCGAGCCACGGGATGGATGAGAGCCCTGTGTGTGGCACACAAACCACCACTCGCTGAGGGCCGACCGCAGGCCACACAGATACATGACATGAGCAACTCCATTCCCTGAGTTCGGATACATTACCATGCAAACTTCCCGCTCCCTCAACCCCACCGATGCTTGCCGCGAACCCATGTTCGTTGACCCGAACTCCGGTCCCAAAAGAACAAAGAAATTCAAGCACAGTTCAAGTCTGGAATAGCCTCAGCAGCAGCCTGCGGAGAAGGTACTGCCAGAGTCGAATCGGAACAGAGACCGGCACCTGAGGAGGAGATTCTGACTCAGGATGGGGCTTCGTGTCAGCTCCCCGACAATGGAAGGGTTTCGACACCTTCCCGAAAGACTGGAATACAGCAGGTATCCGCGACGTTTCACCTCTTCAGCCTCCGCCCCAATGTCCACACTCTTTGGCGAGGCCAACCTGGCGCGCGCTCTTCTCGGGATCCCTTAATAAAATGGGTCAAGGTTTAGAGAGTGTCGCTGTAAGTCGTCTACGACTCGGACGAACGTGCGCGTATGATGACGATGACTGAGACCCAGAATTCAGACCTTTAGAATTCGATAAGGGTTGCGTGTCAACGCTGTGATGGATCATCTGACAGAACATGGTACCGTTCCTCATACTTTCAATGGGGCGGCTGCACTTCCGTCTCTGGTATCACAGGCTACGTTGCTTTATGTTAGCCGAGTGCCAACCTGAGCGATGCTGTCTGGTGCCGTTTTTGCTTCTTCCATTTGCCGCAATGCGAACCCTAACAGCCCCAGCCCAAACTGGTAGATCGAAGCACGGGACGAATCTCATGGAACACCGCAGCGCCCCATAAACGGCCCGAGAGTCCTGGCGAGCGCATAGCCAAGGCCGATTCCGGTCCCAAGGATGGCCTTCCAGAGCTCTCTGCTGATCCGCAGGGAAGGCCGATTCTTGTCACGACACTCAAAGTGAAAAAGGTTGCAGTAGTGCCAGCTTAGGCTTAGTCTTGGGAATCCTATTGCCTTTGTCTCGTGGCGGCTTCTCGTTGGTGATGTTGTCCCTGGCTTTCGCAACAAATTCGATAAATCGAAACCTCCTGCCCGTCTTTCCACTTACTTGCTCTCATTCACTCTCTAGACTTTAGCTTGCGCATGCATGCGCTGCTACACTACCCAGTAGTACCTTTCTCTGGATTCGGAAGAGCGGGCCGCTCTCATGCTTCTCATACTTGGGAGGTCTTGGGTCTTGAGCATGTCAGTGGTGCCGTTGTGGGAGACAGTTCTCACAATGATCCACAGCACGCTAACCAAAATCAAACTCCAATTTGGATTTCGCATCTGCAGCCCCGGCCAGTGCAACTCCGGGCGGCCCCGGCGTCTCCCACCGCACCATGTCGCGGAGCAGGATGAAGCGAAGCGTCCGAGAATCGACGGGGCACTTTTTGGATGCTGGGTCGGAGCTTGAGAAACTATTCTTGAGGAGTGGCCTTGGAAGCTAATCCGAGGAGTTCCAGGCAGCATGCATCGATCGGATCAAGCCCTCGCAGCTCACATGTTTGGGCATCTGTCACGGCTGCGTCATGGAGAGCACAGTGCTCAGCAGTCTCTTCAGGTTTCTGCTGTTGGTGCTGACAAATCAGCTCTGTCTTCCACAGGCCCGAAGGCAAGTCAGTCCCCGAACTCTGTGACCGTGCAGGCATCAAGATCCCTGAAAACCTTCGATGTTGCAGCCCAGGGCAGAGCGCGGCCTTCCGTGCGTCGCTGGGTCCTCGGCCACAGCTGTCGGGGTGAGGTCGGATGACTCTGGGGTCCTACAATCAGGCTACGATCCGAAGTTATAGGGAAGCCTCAAGCGCAGAGTCAAGCAAGCTGCTTAGAGCTGCAGGAACCTACCGAGTCCCCACCGCGCCTTCCGACTGCTCAGGTTTGTCAGCCTGCAGATGGAAGAGCAGGCTTGCTGTTTATGCCAGCCCGAATCTTGCGCAACATCGCACGTTTTGGTGTTTTGCGGCGTGTCACGAGCCAGGTCTCGGTTCACCGACTCAGGACTAGTGTACCAACAGAAGGATGCCCCTGAGCCTGGCAAGGCGAGGTTGCCATAGGACTCGATGAGGGCAGCACCAGCGCAGCATGCGCAGCTCGAGCCTTCGAAAGATCTCGACGCAAAGCTCTTGGTGCAGGGCTTAGGCTTAGGCTTGTATCGCAGGCTTCTTCTTTGGGTCGACCGAGAGAGCGGGAAGCAAAGCCACAAGAGACTGCTACACTGCTACACATGATGCCACACCACAGACCCCTTCATCGCTTCATTAGCCGCACAGCTGAACGCCGAATCCTCGCGAGAACATGCGAGAACATCTTCGAAGGACATCCAGCCATGCCCCAGGGCACAGGCCGAAAGGTTCAAGGGAAGGCTGGTGGCAGCCTACAGTAGGCAGCTCCAAGCGAGGATTGGTGAACTTCGGCTTCTATGCCTCTATGCTATGCAAAAGCGACTGCAACGCGAGGGTGCAACTTCCAAACTACCTGACTTGGGCCGACTTCGAGGATGAACACGGGGAAAGCTCTGACATAGGAGCCACACCATTCAGCCCAACTTCCAGCAAACCCCGTGTGCACAACCTGCATTTAAGTAAGAACCCCTGTTCTTTGCTATCCTTGTTTCAATTAACCCCCTTGGAGCCAAGCCATGGAGCTGCCCCCCGGACCTGGCGGGAAGCGGCGCCGTACTTCGCAGGCTTGCTGCTTCCCACTGTAAGGGGAGATGGTGTTACGGCCTTTGCTAAGCCGTGAAGAATCGAAGGTCTCTGTTGTGGTCGGGGGCTCTTCTACTGTGCGACGTTCCGACTTGCGGTCCGTGCAGTCCTGCTGTGGGCTTTGCCGCTCATAACTCTTGTACAACTATCGAAAGTATCGAGTGGTACGACGGACTCTGAAGAGACGGCACTCGCTCTGGGTGAGCCTATCACCACCATGCAAGCCATCTCCCAAAGCTACATAGACATCCTGAATCGCCCTTGTGGAGCCTTCATGCCATGATCCATGTGCCCCAAGCCAAGTCCCAGGCCCCAGCAACGAACCCGTCAAAATGATTCTATGCACAAAGCACCTGGCAGGCAAATCGAAGCAGAAGCGTAGGTCACAGGGTTCGCCCTTAGCACAGCAATTCATGCAAGCGAGGCAAACCATTTAATCACAATGTGCCCATCCTGGCAACTCACAATTCGAGCACCTGGATCTGCAATGCAAAAGAACTAGGAAGGCGTGAGTCTGCCTGCACCGATACGACTGCTTTCTCAGAGATCATAATGCTGCATTCGCTTGGATGCACCAGCATCCGTCTGTTTGAGGCATGCACCCACGCTGTGAAGGTGCTGCAGGGTCCACTGCTGCCTGAGTGCTGAAACAAGGTCATCTGCTAACAGGCTCCTTCTTCCGCAAAGTTACTGGCTGCCCATATGAACGCGGGCAAGATTGCTTTCCCAGCAATACTTCTTTCATGCTGTGATCCCTGGTGACGACCGCTGCAGCGCCAAAACAGCGGCTCCTGACTACCCAGAAACAGCCGCGACAACACAGAGAACTGCATGGAGCCGTACCGGCATGAAAGCCGCTTCGGCACCTCCCTGGCTTCGCAGATCACTGCACAAATGCTGGCATGTGCACTAATCTGGGCCTTAGGAGCTGTAGATGAACAGCGCAGCTCAGGCATAGTTTGCCATTCAATCTCTGGAATATTGGGATTACGACGGCAGCGGGCGGCAGGCCACCAGTGAAACGATGGTCGGGTATGCAAATGAAGCCACATGTCACGACCTGCTTGATGTGACCGAAACCTTTGGCTGCTTGCATCGCAGGGACAACCTGAACCCGAAAGGAAAGACAGAAATCCATGAAAATTCGCCTACATGACAACTCGTTGAGAGCTTCTCTTGCGTGTGAAGCATCTATGAAGGGCACCAAGATCAACAGTCTGGCCTACAACAACCTAACCGCGACCAGCACGGAGAGCCAGACAAGGGTGGAGGCAAAGGGCCAGGATCAGTACATGCTCGCAAGCTCAAAGCAAGCGTGGATGTCTCTCGCACAGTCATGCGGCCTTCAATAGCGACAAGGCTCCAGGTGGCACCGCAAGCAATTGTCGGGCCCAAGGATCGCAACATGTCCAATTTCGACTGGTATCCCAGTCGACGCTGTGAGAGTTGCAGCCAGAACCGCACCAAGACTGACACGACAAACTTCAACCTGCCAACATCAACGTGGATGCAACACCACAACTTCAGAGCTTGGCCCGCCCTTCATGAAGCACACGTCACGCCCAGTTCTCAGCCTCTTGGCGCAGCAGAACTGGGTGTGGTACCACCACCAGCAAGCACCTTAGCCCATCGTCTTGCTGTCATTCACCTGGTGCCATAGGCGTGTTGGCCTCAATGGTGGTAGGCACGAGATGTTTTAACACACCTCGCTACTGCCTCGCATGCTTCGCCCCACACGTGGCCAGCGGTGTGCAAGGAGGTCGCTGACCGTAGGTGGCATCGCAACACTCCTCTGGGTAAGGCGAGTTCTGCTAGACGCATCACACATGTGATCGCGACCGCACAGGATCGGACCTTAATAGGCCTTTCGTGAGACTGCCCCGCACAGCTGTGCAGTCTCCGACGACAACCGCCGATGCTTGAATAGGCGCATCAAAGCATCAGGAAATCTGGGCCAGCGTCACATGAACAGCTGTCCGTGGGTCACACGAGACGGTTGCGTGATCGCACCGAGGAGCGTGCGCAATTGACAACGTCCACCTCAGAGGCACCAACCAAGAGAGGGGTTTTGTTGAGCTGGAGATGACGATGCTTCAACACCTGATCTTCCTATGACAGTGAAGGAGAAAGCCTGCAGGCGCTGTATTGGATGCCCATGTGAGAAAACCAAACAGCAATCAGGTGCCGGAAAAAACAAACACTGCCTGCTTCTTGGACAACCTCACCTCATGAATCTCTGAAGATACCCCCATCAAGCTTCTGTTAACTCAACAACGCCCACAACAGCCGGATTCTTGGGCTAAGTGTATGTCGGGCTGGAGACTATAGTTCCCCACTTTGGTCAAAGATCGAATCCTGTCCACAAGTAAACTCGCCAGGCCACGGCCATGTGGTCATCCTCTGGGAAGTAGCCGCCACAATCTGGAATAGCCTGCCACACGAGGAGCAGTCTTGCTTACTGAAGTTCAAGTCTGTCACGGCGTGATCTCGTCCATCTTCCTTGGTCGCAAAGTCTGCTTTTCCTATCGAATCCTTCCCCTCTGATCTGTTCTCCCTTTGGTTCCACAAAGCTTTCTCCTTGTGTCTTTGGGGATCCAAACCGTCTGACGCGGCCCCTCAAGCGGGAAGACGGACAGGTTGGCGAGCTGGGCTTCAGGGTTTGCGGGGCTTGGAGTCTTGAGGCTTTGCGAAGAAAACCCTACTTCAGCTCAGGAGAAGGCCTCGCTCAGCCTGAGCCGCTTGAGTCTCGGAGCAAGCGCCTTCATGAAAGGACTTGGGGCAGAAAGCAGTGGCATCTCACATGGGATCCTTCACCTCTTGAAACCCCCCCTTGAGCTCAGCATGTGGGATTAGCGCACGGGAAGTTTCTATCCTCCTTCTCATGTTGTCGGCTGCAGGAAAAAGGAATTCAACCGCGCTTCTCAGGCTTCCTGCAGGACCAAGCCGTCGGGACTGGGGTTGGAGCACTTGGGAGAAAAGACTTCAACCCGTCATGCCCCGCAAGTGATAAAACTCGGACCCTCGGCTGGAAAGCCTGAACTGGCCTTGTTACTACCCATAAATGCGCCGACGTGCGCCATGAAGCATGAACAAGAATCCGGATCAAAGGAGCCGAAGAGCATCCTGAAAAGCTCCCCATCTAAGCTGACAGAATCTCTGCACTCCCCTGGATCCAGACCACAGAGCACAGAGAACCAAAAGCCCAGCCCTGGCCGCCTCCCTTGCCGCCTCCAGCCCTGACCCAGAAGCCCAGAAGTGCTGAGCCCTGCCTCGCGCTCGAGATCCTCCAAGTAGTCCTGATGAAAGGGGGCTGGGGCCTGGCTGGTGAAGAAAAGGCCAAAGTCAGAGTCAAAAGCTTGTGTCCAGCAGAGGGCTACTCTCGCAATTCCACAGAAACGCGAAGGCTTTGCGGCGTAGGAGAGGCTGGGGGGGAACACAAACACAGAAGTGTGGAAGTCAACGATCAATCCCAAAAGGTCACCTCCCGTGCCACTCTATACTGGTAGGTAACATGAACAGGGCGCAGTTTTTGCTGGAAGCACGTCATGATAACCTGCGATACTAGGGACGCAAAAAAACAACCTGCCTGCTCGCACATGGCGCGGTCGCAGGGCTCGTGCCGGAGCAAGGAATCCACGGTGCGCTGGGCCTGCATCGAAGCGAGGTTCTGCTCTGTGCCGGGCTTCCAGGAGGTTTGCACTAGCGGAAGCTTGGGGTACTCGCCTTGAACACAATCGCGTGACAACGGCGTACGGCAGTTCTGCTACAGTGTCTTGCCGGCTGAAGTCTGCGGCTTACGGGACTTTGTGCTCATGTATCCAAACCCTTTCTTCGGTGACAGCCCAGCGGCATGCGGAGGCGGCGACGTCGAGGAGTCCGAGCTCGCGCCTGTGACCCGGGTCGGGTTTTTGTTTTGCATATGTGTTCTGTGCTTGGCTTGGCAGGACTTCCCGGAGGGCGGAGCCGAGCTGGGGGTCTCAAATCTCTTACACCTGCAGAGAAGAGCTCCGCTCGAAATGAAGGCTTGGCGTAAGGCATCAGACCCTGGGGGGGCTCCATCTCTTAATCGTGTGCAGCCCGGTCCTTGACGAGCTTCAGAGAGGAACGGCAGCGTCTGCGACGATTGGGTGGTAGGGGCGGGGAAAGCTCCACGTCTCCGCGTCCGCTGGGGAACTCAAGATGTTCGCATCGCTCACGATATCGGTCAGGGCGGGTCTATAGACTCACGAATACCAAGAGATGCCAACTCTCAGCGGCAACGCGCCAACAGCGATGAGTGGTTAGTGGGGGAAAGTTGAGGATGCGGTACACCCTCTGTCTCAGAAACCAGAATTTTGTTTCAGCAGCCGTCGGGGGGCTGGGTTCATCCCAGCAAAACGTGCAGGACTGAGGCAGCGGGCCAAACCCAAGCTCATCGAAGCCCTCCGAAAACGCCCCCGAAAACGCCACGGTAGGCAAGGGCCCGGCAAAGGGGCCGTTCGAAACGGCCCCAAGAAGACTCCAAGGGCCGGGCCATCTCTCCCACGACAGAGCGGCTCGCGCCAGGGCCGTGTTCGGTTTTCGTGAGAGGCTTTTCCTCTTGACTCTTTTGCGGCTTCTTGACTGGGGGCGCAGAACCTGGAGGGAGATCTAGATCTCTGCGAAAGCTGGGGGTTGGCAGGCTCCCGGGGCCTTCGATCGTTGCCATGTCCATTGGAATTTGTTTTTGGCATGGCTCTTCTTGTCTCTGGGTAAATGCATGCTTGGTTAACAAAGCTGGAACCGACAGCAGCAGCCCATCTCACTTGCAGGTCAAGTCTCACGCCTGTTTAGGTTCAATCTAGACTCATCTCCCGCACGCCACTCTACAAAGTCTAGCTTCGTGAACCCATGAAGGTTTGCCGAAAGACAATGCTTTGCAAAAGCTGTCGGCTGCGCGATGCCATGCCCACGTGTCTTCTTGCCCGCAAGCAGCTGCGGGAAATTCTTCTCTTCCACTCCAGGGTGAGGAGTCCTACATGAGCCTGAATGGAATCTCCTGTTGAATTCGAAGGATACATTGCCACTGGTTGCTTTGGAAGGAATACCTCATCAAAGATCTCCGTGACATTTGCAGGTGCTATGCTGCAGGCCGCGTCAGTCTCAGTCTTCGGACTGCAGGACGCGCAGGGCCTCTCCAAGCAAGACCAGCTGCAGCAGCTCTGGCAGTATCCCTGGTTGCACGGCAAAACTGGCCAACAATATCCCTCATCATGTAAGGGATCTGAAATCGTCAGGCCGGGGGGCTCCACCGAGAGCGAGTCTAAGCACCTGCCTCCTTGAGTGATGCAAGCTGCTCCTCGCGCTTCGCCTTGCGCTCCTCGAAGCTGAGGCCCTTCACCTGAGGCTAAGCGGCTAAGCTGTCACGTTGCTTCCCCAAACTCACAGCTTGCAGCGGTTCTTCGGCCACAAGCCACCGAAGCTCCGAACACCCCGGGGGGATGAAGTATGCACGAGAGTAACAGGGGACTTTTCATGTGCAGCAGCTTGGACCCCATGCAGAGCATGATGTCGCGAGCTCCTCCAAGTAGGTGCTCAGTGCCTGGCGGGAGCTGTTGTGGATCCGCAACACGCATATGACTTGGCTCAGACGTCTGGTACACAGTCTCACGAACCATTAAATGTATGCTGTGGCTGTGAAGGATCCCAATACCCCCCACCACCACCACCACCACCACCACCACCACCACCACCACCACCACCACCACCACCACCACCACCACTGGTAAATGCAGAACAGTGCATCATCGAAACCGGGCCGCATCAACCGGAACCGACTTACAACAACCGGGTAAGGGGCTGAGCTTGCTCTGCTCAGGACATGCAGTGCTCAGACAGTTGGGCAACTGCGCTGCTATTTGATCCAAATGCTGCTTTTCAGTTTCAGTGGGAAAGGCAGGTGCGGGTACCACTGCAGCCCCTCGTAGTATTCCCGAAGAGACGCCACGGATTAGCTACAGTAGCACTTAGCACACATACAAGTACTTAGACTGGCTTCTTCAAGGCTGCAAGGGCTGAGAGCTGCGACTCCGCGGGCGGGCCTTGATCTCCTTCTGATAGCTGGCCAGGTCTTCGTTTGCCCTCACAAGCTCCGACTCAAGTTTCGTGATGGTCTGCTTCTTGTACTCCGTGTCCTGAAGGAGTGCAAGCTTCCGTCGGGAGACGGCTCGACACTGCGCAAGCCCGGACGTCGCACTGAGCCATGTCTTTCGTCCTTGACGAAGGTCGCCAGTCGAACCTCCGTGGTAGTCTTGAGCTCCTGTGAGAATTTGGAAGGGGCCGTGTGCAGTTGCTATAGGACTGCGCAGTCCTGGAAGTCCGCCTTGGCTTCCTTCTCCCCCTTCGCTGTCTCCTTGGGCCACAGAAGCGGCCAGCTAGGAACCTAAACCTAGCAACCTAGACCTAGAACCGAAGTCGCTCTGCTTTCGACTGGTCTTGCCGGCTTCCACAACATCTGCACCGAGTTACCCAGGTTTTTTGGTAAACGATGCCCAGAAAGGCTTAAACTCACAGAAACCCGCTTGAAACCGAGATGAAAACCCCAGAAGCCCCCATTGCTCGAGGAGGTGGCCTCCGCCAGGTCAGCGAAGTTTTCCAAGGACACCTGCAAGAGGCCGACGACCCCGGAACCTGCAAAGACAACGGGATGAAGGAGGTTTCGATGCCAGGTGTGGGACAGTTTGGTCCCAGGTCTTCTTCGTGGGGCTCTTGGTCTCTTTCAGTTTTGAGCTGACGACTTCAAGAAATCAGACAAAAGATGTCTCTGCCTACGAAGTTTAGTTTTGGGGAGAGGGGCTCCAAGGCCACTCGGCCTGCCGTCGATGCATGTTTGGCATTCAGAAACCAGATCTGAGCTGCATTCAGCCGTGGGTCTGCTAAACAGTCCCTAGCAGGCGACTTTGCGTTGGGAGAAGGAGCGGTTTCGGAGCAGCGGGCCTGTGGCTTTGGCTTTGTAGCCGCTGTTGTCGGCCTTGACCTCAAGTCCGATGGGGAGTTTAGAGAATGACGAACCGCAGACCAAGAGGCAGGCATGCTGGCCTAGCTACTGAACCTGACTCGGAACCAGAGATCGAATTTCGGGAACGAATAAGGATGAAGGGCCAAGTCCGGTTTCCTCAACACAGCTGCAGAAGGCCGGAAGCTATCCTTCAAGGAGCAAAGAAAGCCATGCTGAGCTCCCCAATCTTGCAGTAAGCCCCTTCTTTGCAAGACAGAACCGGAGACTGGCTACTGCTTGTGCTCTAGATTCTCCATGCCGAGCTGCCGAGGTGTCCCCATAGACACGCTGAAGCACAAGGATGGCCTCCCTGAGGACCCTCTGATCCTCGCTGGATGCAACGGTGGCCCAGTCAAAAGGAGAAGGCGCACTGGAAGCGACAGCGGCGGCGGCAGGCGGGGCAGTTGGTTGCGGTGACGCGCAAATGCACGTGAGTCGTTTTGATTCTCCACTCGTCTAGCGACAGCAGCATTGCAGGACGCGTACTCCTTCTCAAGAAACCCCGCTAGAATGGCCGTGAGAAGGACAGGTAGACCTAGGTCTCGGCTGCGAAGACTATGACGGTTCACATGTAGCGGAGAGAGTAGCATCAACTACCCACGGCTCGGTGTTTAAGTTTACGAACATTCACTTTTTGTTTGGGAACAGCATTAGCCTTGACTCAAACCCTGCAAAGCCTCTTCGTACATGACGACGTCGGCTTTCGCCTGCCGTCCGAAGCTTAGTCACGGGGCGTTGAACTCTGCCGTTTTGTGAGGCGGTGAGAAGAGCAGCGATCATCCGTCATCCGCTCCCCACGAGGTCTCTGCAGCTTGGCCTTGGCGCTTTCCTTGCCACGCTGGCTCTCGGCCTTGCCCATGGACGCCTGCAGAGATGGCGAAACTGGTGTGTTTGGCTCTCCCTTGATCGGCACAGCACGAACGCCGACTCCCTGGCCTTCATGTCGTCGATCTCCTTTGCACCTGCAGAAAGCTGAGAGTCTCCACGGGTCGAAGGTGGAAGCAATGCGAAGGATGCAAACCACTGCTGAGCCCCCTGGCTTGTCTCGATCTCCGACTTCAAAGAGGACAACCTTCCGACTTCCGATTGTTTAGAAGTTTGAAAGAGCCTTCGGCACCCACCACTATTGCAGTGCCTTGAGGCCTCTTGCGATCAAGAAGAGAACATGGGAGCTCTCAGACAGTAAGGAACAGGCTCAGCGGTGACGGCGAGCATCTTGGTCTTCAGCTTGTCCGCACGCGTAGCTTTGCTGGCCTGCTTCTGCCCCGCAGACCGGTGACCGGACCGCTGAAGTCCTAAACACAAGACGATTGCTTTCGGCGGCTCCTACGGACACTTACTCAGCAGACGCCCGTCAGGCTAGGAGGATGTGGCCTCCTTACAGAAGCCCCCCTCTCAGTAATGCTTAAACGACGAATGCCTGCATGGCGGCTTTCACTGACTTCAGAACTCGACATACTGCTCGACACACTTCCTGAATTGCTATCTGTGTTTGCCTTTTTTTGCGCATTTACCACGCGAACTTGAAGCCTGTGGCAACCAGCATTTTGATCGGAATGCCTTGGCGTTGTTGGTGTTGGACAGCTCCGTCTGACACCAACTGTCCCGTCGTGCATCCTCCGCTCGCGCAGCACAGGAAGCGAGACTTCCGCGAAGCAGGAACAACGAACCCCACACCCTCTTCCCTTAGCTTCTGTTACCTGCAAGGGGGTTGCTTACAGCGCCAAAGCAAGTTTGGAAATTGACGCCCATCGTTGCTTATCCCGACTCCTATCTCGCACAGGGCAGCCACGTCCTGCGCCTGCTGCTCGTTCATCTTGGCGAGCATTTCGTGGATCAGCGCCTGATCAAGTGACCCATGACATGAATCCATGAACGGTGGAGGTGCTATCAAACCGTTGACTTTGTAAGAACTCGCTCAGGCTTCCGGCGTTCGTCAGCGCAACCGAATTGTCGAAGCCACGCCGCTTGAAAGCTTGAATGAATCTAGACCCAGATGCACACCGAGTCTTGAAATCATGCACCCTAGGAACCCCTTCATCCTCAAAGGCAACGAGCCTTGACTTTCTTGAAGACGTCCCTCCTTCAAGCAGCTGGCAGTTGAGGGGAGAAACGTGAAAAGCCCTATGAGATCTTCAGGTCGACAGATCCCAAGTGACTCGATGTGTCTTGCGGGTGGTCTTGAACCTTACATACAGTCCTTACAAGCCCTAAATCCAACCACGACCCCAAGACGCACGCCAGAGCCAGAGAGAAAACTTGACGAAGTGTTTGGGGACCTTTGGGCGGGCTCTCCTGCCGGAGCCTTCCTGGGACTGGAGGAGCAATGCGGCCAGGCCAGGGCTGGCGGCCGACTCCAAGAGACGGGCCTCAGCTGAGACGCTCGGCTGCTCTGGATTTCACAGTCCGTCACTCAGACATAAGGATCACCAGAGGGGCACCTTGGGAAAGTGGGGGGCAGTCTGCTGAAGCAGGAACTCTCCAGGGCTTCAGCCACTTTTCGCCTGCTCAGCTCCCGCTCTCGCGAGGAATGGTGCGAGCCCCAGGCCTGAGCACGGCGGCGCAACCGGAGCTTCGGAAGGCTTCGGGTCCCGTGGGCAAACTGTCATTCTGCCGGAATGGCTCCTGCGACTCTGCATGTTGGGGAGCAAGAAGCGGCAGGGGCCTCCGAAGATAACTGCAAGAAGCTTGCGAGGGTCTTCGCACTTTCCTCGACGGTAGCCTCTGCAGTCAACGGCCAGCAATAAACAATCCTGGAACTTCCTGTCTTGGATGTAAGGTGTCTTCAAGGTATTCTTCTGTCGGAAGCCATGATTCTGTTGAGCATAAACCTGGTGTAAATCTTGCGAAAGGGAACAAGTCGCTATTGGTTTAGATGGTGTTTCGCCGCAGTATTCGTCTCGGCCCAAATGATGCTAAGGGGGGCCGGGCGATGGGCTAGCAAGGGGGTTCTGTTTGCGGTGAGGCTGCGAGCTTTGAATTCTGCTGAAAGTGAGTTCCTTCTTGGGCCTCTAGTCGGCATGGACACGCGGCCAAAAAGAGCCTACGAAATCCACCCTCCGCAACAGGAGGACGGCACGCCGAGACAGAGTTTCTACTCCAAAAGGCCGGGGCAGCTGCACCACTGCTGCTCTTCGTCAGGATCGCAAGCGCCTTCGGATCACAAGCTGGGCGAGCGAAAACAGAGATGGCATGCTGCTGAGCATGCGCTAAGAAGGCCCCAACAACAGCTTGGTGCATGCTTTAGCCGTTTAGTAGCTTCGTCCTCAAGGATTCATCATAATCTGAGAATCCTCATGTGCTGTTCCACGGGTGTCTGCAATCTGACGACGCCGCGCCTCCGCAACCACCCCAGCCTCTGCATCTCGGGACTTCCCTCGCGTGGCGAAGTCCTCAGGCGCGATTGAACGGTACCTGTGAGGTTCTATGCTAAGCGTCCATTTCCTCAGTCCCCAAAGTTATGTATCATAAGACTCTATATATTCAACATAAGGGAAATTATCATCCCAAATCGATACCTAGTATTCTTCTGCCGGGCAATCGGAACCCGAACTCCAGTCGATGTTATGGTGCCTTTGTCTTTAATCATCTCAAGTACGCAATCTTCGAAAGCGTCCTTGCTCTTATCCTTGAGGTCGACTTGCAGCTCTGTCAGCTGCTGTTTCGTCGAGGACAGGCGCCTGTCGATAGGAAAGCCCCGTTCTCTCGGCAAAACCACAGATGCGCGTGCACCTGCAGTGTGAGTACGGTCAGTCAGTCAGTCAGACAGCCAGCCAGCCAGTCAGTCTCTGTGTGTCTGTGTGTCTGTGTGTCGGTGTGTCTGTGTGTCTGTGTGTCTGTGTCTCCGCGTGTCTATGTGGAAGTAAGTATGCATGTATACAAGCCAGTATGTATGCGGGTATGTGTGTATGTGAGTGAGTGAGTGAGTGAGTGAGTGAGTGAGTGGGTGAGGAAGTAAGTAAGTAAGGAACTAAGGAAGTGAGGAAGTGAGGAAGTAGGGAAGTAAGGAAGCAAGGAAGTGTGGCCGTAGGTAGTTAAGTAAAAAAGTACGTGCACAAATCGTGCCAGTAGGTCAATGCGTGTGCGCAGGCATTTGTGTATGCCTGCATGCATGCATGCATGCATGCATGTACGTAGGCACGCATTGCACGCACTGCACGCACTGCACGCATTGCACGCCGCGCACGCACTGCACACACTGCATGCACTGCACGCACTGCACGCACTGCACGTACTGCAAGCACTGATGGACGCACGGACGCACGGAGGGATGGAGGGATGGAGGGTCCGAATCGCTTAGGGGTCTATCGGAAAAGGCATAGACCCTCACCCCCAGCTGCCTACCCATTAGGCCATAAACCATTGATAGGGGTCTGTGGGAAATCGGATCAGTACCTATGCCTACAGGGGTGTACTACAGGTGGGATAGGGGTGTATACATAGGGGTCTATGGACAGACCCCTACAGCGCGCATAGACCCCTATCGTTTTTCGATACGGGTCTATACACCCCGCCCCCACCTGTATATTGCCTAAGCTTTCACGCGCATGCAGCCATTAGGGAGCGAGTGCAAGAAGCAATGAAGCCACTGCAGATGCACAAACAACTGTGCGATGAGAACTCACGTGAACGGTTCGTTCTGCACCTGGAAAGTTTGGGAATGAGCGTCCAGTCAATCAGCAGGTCTGTCGGTCAGTCGATCCGCGAGCCCGCCGGTCAGTCAGTCAGTCGGTCCGTCGCTCGCTACACGAGCACGCCGGTCTGTCAGTCAGTCGGGCCAGGCAGTCAGTAAATCGGACGGTCGGTCAGTCGGTCTGCCAGTGTTTGAGATATATGCAGAGCCGGCATCGCCAAATGAGGGGGCGTGCTTAAGCTGTATGATTAACAGGAATCGCCACATGACAGGATGTGTTTAAGGTATATGGTGGACCGTTCTCGCCAAATGAGGGGGCGTGCTTAAGATATATGATGCAGGGCTGCCACACCCCCCCTCCCCCCCCCCACCCCATGGTATCCTCCCCCCTTCCCCCCCGCCCCCCCTGTGTGTGGGGCCTGTGGTGGTACTCTTTTTGCCGCGACGTTCTTAGGTGTTACTCCTTGTCTTCCCTCTTGCTGTGGCACCGGTGATACTGCTCAAGATGTTGTGCTGCCTTAGACCGGGACATGAGTCGACAATCAGACCATGCTCAACATCATCCTTGTCGTCGTGATTTCATCATTAATACCTTCAAAAGAATATCTGCCACCATCACCATCGCCATACAACCCTCATAATTCAGCATTGCAATGCATGTCAGATGCTGGAAACTACGGAGCCGATTGCCGCTTTCCGCACCAGGGCATAGTGCGACACTCCCGATCCGCGCACAAGGTCAAGGGGCGGGCAAAGTGCGGGCGGGCGGGGGGGGCGGGGCGGGGTGCAGGGTGGGTGGGCGTGCAGCAGCGGGAGGGGATACCATTGGGGGGGGGGTGGCGGCCCGGGACCCGAGAGCATATATGGTGAACCAGAATCGCCACATGACAGGATGTGTTTAAGGTATGTGGGGGACCGTTCTCGCCAAATGAGGGGGCGTGCTTAAGTTTTTTGGTGAACCGGAATCGCCACATGACAGGACGTGTTTAAGGTATGTGGTGGAGCGTTCTCGCCAAATGAGGGGGCGTGCTTAAGATATATGGTGAACCGGAATCGATCGCCACATGAAGAGGTGTTTAAGGTATGTGGGCGTGCGTAAGTGGTGAAGCGGAATCGCCACAGGACAGGACGTGTTTAAAGTATATGGTGGACCGTTCTCGCCAAATGTGGGGGCATGTGTAAGAAGTCTGAAAGTCTTCCCGAACCAGGACTACAAGCCCCCCTCCGCTATCGAACAGGGATGGATGGATGGAGGGATGGAGGGATGCAGGGATAGAGGGATGGGGGGATGGAGGGATCCATGGATGCATGGATGCATGGATGGATGGATGGAGGGAGGGAGGGAGGGGTGTCGGTTTACGTATGCATGTATGTACGTAAGTATGCATGCCTGCATGTAGCAGCTTCACATTGTACCAGGGTCGTTCATTTCTTCAGGTGTTTCTGCCATCTATATTCCCATTGTCGACCGTTGTGAACTGTTCCGTGCAAAAGCCACGAGAAGCAGAAGACAAGGAATCGCCTGTTCACGGAGAGCAGATCGCTCTTTGCTTTGCCAGCAGCCTGCCACGCATTGAGCTCCGGTGTAGGGGGGACAGTGATCACTCACTCGGATCTTCAAAGTGAATGCTCTGCTACTCCAAAACTCAGGCGAAAGCTCCACCCACCAGGCACAACACCCGACACAAGAAGGCCCTTCACATGGCATAACGTCTTCCTGGATACCATCGAACCCCGAAAGAGGCCGCGAAACTCTATTTCAGGTTTCCAAGCTCCGACCCGTCCTTGCCTCCTCAGAGGTGGAGATCGCTGCCTTGACCTCATCCACCGCAGCCTGGCGAGTCGCCACCTCCTGGCAAAAACGCGAGCAGTGGCCGCTAAGCAAGAGGCTCTTCTGTGGCCGCTAAGCAAGAGCGAAACCACGAAGCGAAAGCATCTGCACACAGCTCCCGCTGTACACCTGGCATCATGTGCCCATCGTCGAACCCCATCGACAAGCACATATTACACCTGGCTGCCCTGCGTGCTGCGACAGGCGTTGCCCGACTATCGTCCGTGCATCATGTGGGCTGATGAAGCTTATCGCAGAACTGGGCCAAAGGATCACAGAACGGCATCGACGGCTGAAGAGTTCCCAGAATCAAAGGGCGCCGAAGTTGGAGCTCATGCTGCGCCCAAGCCAAACGACAAGACCAAGGCAGGTGGTGGAGGTCGTTGACAGGGTTGATCCGTCCATCAAGAAGGACGGACAACCCGTTGCTCCGCCGTCGTGTTGAGATACACGTGCTGGGTGGCTTTTCCCTGGTTCGGGTTTAAGCCACAGCGCAGAGCAACTAATTCCTCAGCTTCCCGACGAGGCCCATGCGAAGAGATGTCGACCCAATTGGCCCGCAACGGCTTGTGCAGGAGACGACCAGTCCTAACAGTGGCATCCTTACAGGTTCCTTCAAACCACTTCTCTGAGCCAAGAACCGCATGGTGCCAGCTGGGCTAGCTTCCCTACAAGCCCTTGTGCGGTGACGGAAAGTAACCGAAGGCTGCCAAGGGTCGGGGAGGACTCTTGTCGGACGGTCATGCCAACAATGTGCGGGCCATGATGCGAAGCGCTATGATGCTTTCGTGATGCACCCGGAAAGCAAGCCGAACGTCATCCGCGGAAACACATACGTACTTTCATCGCAGGCTGCTGAGGCGTTTTGATCGTTCAGAGCGCCCGCTCAACAAATCTTCCTGTGGAAACCTCACACCGATCTGGGAGAGCCCTTGCAGAATGGACATCACATTCGTCTTCTTGAGCTCCGACTTGGCAAGTTGCTCAGCAAGTTGAGCCTTCGTCAAGGCTTTGGCACTGCCTCCTGTCACTGCCTTCGACGTCATCGCGGGCTTCAATGCCGGAGGCATGTCTGTCAGGACGTGCCTTGCTGGAAAGCTTGATGCCCGATGGCTGCCGGATACGCAATCTCGGACACACAGCGGCTCCAAGAAAAGTGACAATCAATGCGGAAACAGCAGGCCTGAGGGCCTTCCTAGGTATGCACGAAAACACATGCACAAATTGGCACGCGTTTTCTCGTGCGAGGCCCAGCAGCCCAATGCCAGAACCTTTGAACGAGATCACGGCTTGGCCAGAGAACTGGCAATTTTAATCTTCAGCCCCCGGTGCGAAGCTCTGAAGTTTCGTCCTCTTCCATAGTCTTTGTGAGCTCTGCGAAGTTCTTCCGCGACCTCGACTTTAGCTTCTAGCTTGAGGCTTGGGTTCTTGTACCTCCGAAGGGTTGCAGCACCTCTGATCCCCCAAACCTAGCGGATCCGATGAGTTGGTGCGAAACCGCAGAGGAGCTCCCATGCTGCGGTCCAGTTCGCTTCTCTTCCGCCACTTGCGTGGCAGCAAGCTCCGTCTCGGTCTCGGCTTTCACCTGAAGGAAGCGCACTGTTGGGAATCTGCTGCGTTGTCGGGACCGCCCGGGCCCAGCCCCCCCCAGGCGCCTGTTTCAGAGTCTCTGACAGGTCACCAATGGCCGCGGCCGGAGCCTCACCGTCCAAATCCTGAGTGATTGACTCGCGACGACGCTCGGTCGAAGCGGGGGGAAAGATGTGGTGGCCGGCAGAAGCAAAGCGGAATTCGCAACCACGCTCAAACGGGACGTTTGTTGAAGCGAAGCCCGGGTTCCACAGGCAACAGCTACACTTCGAAACACCAGACCTGGCCAAAAAACACCCGAGAATGGTTTGCGACCTGATCCGAACCATGCTGCCTATTGAGAAGTGGAGACTAATGGCTTCTACATGACGTTCCTCAGCCAGCTTCAACTATAGTCTAGAGCGAGGTTTAGGTCGTCCTGCGGCTGTTCTCGGGTATGACGCAGGCTGGGCAAGTGCTGGACATGCTGCAAATGCACAAGAAATGCAAGTGGTTTGCATCCCACCATGGACGTGGATCAGAGGCCACGCCTCGTCCACGGAGCCATCGTTCTCTGCTTTCCGATCGCTGGCCATCTGAAGCACATGCTCGACCAGTGGCGGCAGTAGTAGTAGGAGTAGTAGTAGTAGTAGTAGTAGCAGCTGTTGTTGTTGTAGTAGTAGTAGTAGTACAAGCAGCAGCACGGCAGCAGGCGAGGAGTAGCAAGAGTAGGAGTAGTAGGCCTAGTAGCAGCAGGAGTGGCAGTAGCAGTAGTGGCTGTAGTGGCTGTGGTAGCTGTGGTAGCTGAAATAGCTACAGAAGCAGTAGTAACTGTATAGTATCAGTAGCGGTAGCAGAAGCTGTACACGTAGTTGACAGTGGCACTGGCGGTGGTGGGAACTTATCGGTTGATTGCTGCACGGTGCTCTTCATCTCGGAACTTCTATACTCACTTTCCTCTTGATGGGAACTTAGTGTTGATGTTTGTCCACTCTCGGCCTGCAGAAAGCCCACAGCAGCAGGCGGAGTCTGTGCCTGCACAATGGCTTTGCAAGAAGGTGCTGTTGTGACGAGGCTTCCTTCTGGAGGTCAGGCAACTCGAAGTAGCAGAGATGAGGTGGCCTACTTCTGCATTGCACTCACATTGCGAACGGATGCGAACGGCACCTTCCGTGATCGGCCGGCCACAGTCAGCAGGCGGGACAGGAAGTGTTGCCTGTCATGGGGAGTTTGGAGGAGTAGGAGCATAAAGGAAGTGAAACAGAAAAACTTTGGGGGAGGACAAGTAGCTGTGCAAAATCGCACTTCTCGTTACGACCCCTCGGTGATGTCCAGCGATGCTGTGATTTTTTCGATTGGAAGGGTGTAGGATTTAGGGTGCAGGGATATGTATGGTGTTTCAAGCGAAGTACAGACTGAGATTTGAGAGTTTAAGTTTTGAAGTCACGTGCAAGCAGGCTCTCGCTTCGGGGCTGCGTTAACGGCTTAGCGATTAGGGTTGCTGGCATGCTCCATTCAGGTCTATATCTTAAGTCAACTGCACACAGCGAAGATTTTCAAGCTACTGCATCAACCAGCAGATGTTCCACGCACATGGTCTACTAAATCTGGGTTTTTTTGCGAGGAGTTAGCTTCATGAATACAGAAACGTAAACGTACATACGCATCTGTTATGCAACAGATTCTTGCGTGTACAACCGCTGGCACGAGAGCTTTGTTTATTCCGAAGATTTCCGAAGCGCATGCGTATGCTGTCACCCTCAACCACTGATCCCCCGAATAGCTACCAGCTTCCTGCCCAAGAGCCCGATGCGTAAGTCCGAAAACACATAAAGATGCGAAAAAGCCTGGCCTCCTGACCCTACTCTCGACCTGATGTTCTGAAACTTACGTTAGCGAAACCGAAGGGCCACATCACATCCCCGAACATACACACGCCCCCAAGTTGAACGCTGTCGCATGATCAGAAACTTGTTCGTGACGCACGCAGGTCTTGCAGTCAATTCTCAGCTCTCTCTCGCACCTCAAGTCTGCAAACTGAAAGGCACGTCCTCAAAAGAAAAAGAAGAAGAAGGTCCCCACAGCATGCGACCCATCCCACCCATCCACCACGCGAGCAATTTGTCCTCTGAGGCCCCAGCTGATTTGCAGTCAGCAACTCATCTGCACCCGCACTCAGCGCCGTCCTAAAAAAGCACACGATCCTGCTTTGACAGCTTCCCTAGAGCTTCAATTGATTGATGCTCGGTTGCTGACACCTCAGATCCAAGAAAGCCTTTCTTTGATCTCAGTCTCTTGACAACTGTCATGCAGGCACTGAGTGCTTGCAGTCATTCGGGCTCCCGTGTGTATCGTCGAAGCCAATGACCTCTCCGACTGCATGACCTCGTGTTCCTCATCCTTGTGATTGTTTGCGCTCTGTTGCGCTGCTCTGGCTCTTGGGCCCGAGGTCCCGGCTGGAGTTGCGAGGTCGCTGCTAGCAGCCGCTCTCTGGGCAAGTGCGCTTTCCTGATTCAACTTGCACAGGGCCGTTTAAGATGGATCCCGGAGCGATGACGATCCGTTTTGTCTTGAGTTTGGCTAAAGCCGTGGAAGCAATAGCTTCCAAGAAGCAAATTCGCCTTGTATGGGTGGTTGTCAAAATTAGGGTCCCTGTTTGGGTCCACATTATAATACGGAGCCTTTTATTTAGGGTACCCAAAAAGGGACCCTAATTTTGACAACTACCCATATGTAAAAAGGCAACCCCCATTGATCACGGCAGCGCCAAAGGCAGAGAGCGCAGTGAGCAGAGAACTGAGCAGGGACTTCTTACCGACGGTGCCCCAACGCTAGAGGTTTCCAAAGCCGAGTGCGGGGCTTCTTTCCCGAGCTTTGCAAGAGACCGGATGCACCTGCACCTCAGACGTTCAAAGGCGATGCCAACCCAAGCACCGTCGCTGGCTCTGCGTCCGCGCTGAAAAAGGGAGCTGCTCTAGAAAACTCTCAGGCACTGATGCCCATTTCTCAGATCCCTCACCATCCAAAGCTCAAGTCGAACACCTTCTCCTGCCACCACCAACCCCTGCTACCCGCCAACGATCCCGTTCAGGGCCGGACCATCAGACATGCCTTGGCCGGCAGCACGGATGAAGAGGCTAACCAGAAAAACAGCTTCACTGTTGGACAAGGCAAGGTGTTGGTCAGAGTACAAACGGATTTCGAAATAGGGGTTTACGATGATGCGGCCCAAAAAGCGCTCAGCTTGGTATCTCTTGGCTTCAGAAAGCCAAACTCTGGACTCCGGACCCACGAACGAAGACATAGAAGCCAGGGTCAGCCAGGCCCCACACTTTTCACGGTCTGCAAGGCAAGGTTCAAGTTGTCAGTGCTCTTCTGCCTTACCGGGCTGAAACGACAAGCCGCAGCCTAACCGAGAAGAGCTCCAATTAAGGCTCGTTGGTTCACACCGAGTCACAGCTGCGCAGCATTCTTCACAAAGGTCTCCTGCAGTTCAGCCCAGATTGGGAGCAAAGGTGGCCGAACCTCCTCCCCGCGTCCTTCTCGGTCAACCGCTGCTGCTTCGCCAGCTCCAGCTCCTGCGAGCAAACGAGCAGGCGAATCGAAAACGAGCTCGTCTGGAGCCTCCCCCCTCAAAGCAAAAGAAGATGCCTTCTGCGACTGGAGCAGGTTGGAAGCAGCTGTTTCCAGGAGGCTCTTCTTTTCAGCCTCGCTCCATGGCTCAGAAGTTTCGAGGCACTCCTGTGGTAGGAAAAGGACCCGAAGAGCTTGAACACCGAGGAACGAAACCTGCTTCAAGCGACTGGTTTGCCGATGTTCAAAAATTGGAGGGGGCCGAAACACCCAGGAACACGGAGACACTGGGAGCCCCCCAGTTCTCTGTCCAGTGCCTGCAGGGCTTCCGCCGTGACGATGCTTGCCTGACGGACGGCAATCTGCAAGATTCAGAGCCTGGTTCAGGCTCCGGAGTACAGTTCATGATGCTACCATCTATCTCGGAGAGAGGGCATTTGTGTCTTTCCGGATTCCGGTCCAGCAGCTTCAGTCTTGATGTGAATTCTTAGTGACTCCTACACGCATCTTGCAATGCAGACCTGATGACTGCCTCCAGGCACTTATCGATATAGATCCCAACCGATGGTAAGGGTGCTCACAGCAACAATACCAAATGAAACGGGCCATGCCCCTGCAAATCCAGTTGCCGCGAACACTGAATTCGAGGATAGCAGCTGCGTGCACAAACGACCACGACCGCAGCATCCTGAAACTGCAACCCCGGAAATCTCTCGTCCCAATTTCTGCAGGTAATCTGGAAACAGACACTTGGGCATACAGACTGGCCTTCAATTCAGCAACTTGCGTGGTGCATTGCTCCACCGTGGCAGTGGCTGAGGTAATACTTGCCTCCGGCAACGAGGATCTTCTTGGTGCTCTGCGAAGGCTCCGACTTTTTGAGCTATCGTTCTAGAGCGCAAAGTTGCGACAAGAGGACAGTTTTGGCAGTTCTGGCAGCCTGAAATCTAATGGCACGGCCCTGTCACAACGGACGGAAGTGGCGTGCCTTCGTCAACTTCTCATACTCGGAGAACTGCTTCTGATCTGCCTGGGCGTGCTGGTGACTCTGCCTTGAGCGTTAACATCTGGGAATTGCCGTGCTTTCGAGGAACGCCGAGCGATCGCTAGCTGTGCAAACTTGAGCTTGAAAGACTTCAGTGTCATGGCTGTTCGAGACTCCTTCTGGCCGGAAGTCTCCCCACCTCCTTGTCCTCCTTGAGCTGTGACGTGAGCTCTGTCAGAAGCTGCGTCACCTGCTAGCAGTGATGTTCTCAGCAGGCACAGGTCTCTGTCGCTGCTTCGGAGAACGCGGGCTTTGGCTTCCACTGACCCAGGGTTTCAGACACTTTCAAGTCAGACACGCCAGACAGCACGGCCTTCTTGAGGGCTGTCGACTTCTCCGACAGAGGTGTCGGCTGCTCTTGACCTGAGCACCCCACAAAACAAACGCCTCATAGCCTGCTGGCGGGTAACAGACTTGCACTTGGTTTGGGAATGAAAAAGCAAGCTCAGTCGTGTTCCCATGTCTTTCTTTCATCACAGCATGGTTCCCTCAACGAATCCCTCTCTATGGGTCATTAGGGCTCGAGCTAGCTTCCGCTGTGCCAAGCCAGAGCGCCAGAACCTCGGAATCAGCTTGCATGGCCGGGTTGTTTGGTTCTGCGGTGCACGCTTGAGAGCCAACACTTACCGGACTCAAGAGATCCTTCTCGACTTCTGAAACTTTGCAAAGGCCCAATATCCCGAAAGCTTCCTGGGATCCATACCCCCCGTGCGGAAACAAGCCTGGGGCCTCCGGCTACATTGCACCAGATGGACCTGTGCCGGAACAGCTCGGAGCAAGATACGACAAGTCGCATGAGCAAATCCTGGTTTCAAGCAGCATTGGGTCCTTGGGCCAAGTGTCTAGTGGCCAACCTGAACATCCAGTAAACCCTTGCAGCAGACTTGCTGGGGAACCAATCTCGCAGCGCTCTCACAGCACAGAGTTAAATCAGATCACAACATCTCAGGGAGGCGCCGGAGGCTAATCAACCTTAAGGAGTGGCACAGCACTCACGCCTCCGCGATTGCCCGATGGCCATCGTGGCCCACTCCCCGAATGGCTTCCAATCAAGCTGATCTGTGCGTCAGGTTCCGTGCCCAGCCTCTACAATTCTACAAGGCGGAGGCCTAAAACCGCCAAAGCCTTTCAAATTCCTTACAGCCGATGTTGTGGCTGGGAGTGTTTGCGGGATGGGGTGTGTAGGATACCCCCACCCAGCCCGATTTTCGGGCTCGGGCGGTCCTGAGCCCGTGGCAAAGCAAGTTCGCGTCTGATGAGAAGCAGAGAAAATCTCCTAGAGGCCCTGGCCACGTGGATGCAGACTCAGGAAGCTTTTCTGCACGGCACAGCTGTCTGTGGACCGTCGGTCTACTTCGCGAGCGCGCAGGTAGCTCTCGGCTCTCGATTGACAAAAGAATGACGAGGGTGATCACGGCGCAAAGACGAAATCAAAGGCTTCCGCTAGGGAGCTGCGCTGGGCCTTAAGCTCATGGTGATGCAAGACCGGGCCTTGCGGGGCCTGAAACGCGTATTTTGCGAGCGCCCCGTCCCCTCTCAGCTTGGGTGCGCTCTACTTCTAACTTTGCCTCAACTGCACAACCGAGGACCTCAGCCGAGATCGCACATGGCGGTGTTTAGGGCTTAAGCCATTCAGGCTCGGAAGGATCATAGCATGACCCATTACAAAAGCTTTGGTGTATCTATCAGCTGGGTGCTGCTGAGTCTTGACTTGGAGACTCCACGACCCTTGAGGAATCTCTCAGGCTGGCAAAAAGAACTATCGAGCAAGTATGAAGCTCAAGTCGCCTCTGAATTCCTGAGGGCAAGACGTTGAAGAGCTACTGATCCTGGCCACAGGATCGAGGCGAGACGACTTTGACCACATGTGGCTGCACCAGCTGCCAGCATCGGGATGGACAGAGAGGGGCTCAGAGGCAGGACTTGCCACAAGCAACAGGAAGAAGCATCGAACGATAACGAGGTCCGCTGGCCAAGATACTTCCACCAAGGAGACTCAAATTCACGCACAGCAGTTGAAGGCGGCCTCCTCCTCAGGGAGGACGGTGAGGTCAAGGCTCTCGCCCGTGATTTTCCTCCACCTTAAGGCTCAGTGTCTGAGGACGTCCGTGCTTCGGACGGTCAGGGAGAAAAGTTGTGACGTCAGACCGTTCATGGCCGTAGGCCTACCAAGACCGAGCTTGTTGGAGCTGGTCCGACTGCTGTGACAGACTTGCTTGGACAAATTATGCTCAGATAGACAAGGGCCGATGTTCGCAGCGTTAAATTCAACCTTTCAGCTCCTTTATGAAAAGCAAGAACAACTTTCAAAGCTACCACGGTTGCGCGATGCAGCAGCAGTCATCCTCCTCCAGGTCATTATGAGGGTGTTGGCGGAAGTAACAGCGGCAACGGCAGGAGGAGCTGGTCTTGCAGCGGTCTCATCATTATGATTCTTGTGATCGTGGCTCTCCTGTGCGATGATTATTTGTCTTGTCCCTGGTCCATCAAGAGAACCGTGCTCTTTACGTTACGAGCCTAAATCGAAACTCCAACTTGTGGCCTCATCTGCAACTTCTAGGACTCTCGGACTCTTGCGTCATCACGATCGGCTTCCCCCTGAGCCTCCCAAGCCCCTACCAGGACAAGTCTCACAGGCAGCTCCCTCCAACACCTGAAGACAGTCCGACCCGCCAGAGTAGGAGTCCGGCAGCGCCAGCACTTCGGTGGAGGCGTCCTCCGACATGCCCAAACCCTAAACTAACTCTACTCATACCGGCCCCAAGACCTCCAAGAAAAGAGGCCAACTTGTCATTCCGAACTGACTTGTAAGATATTGATTCATTGCTCGTTTCTTTGGTGTATCAACTTCGTCGAAGTGTTATTTTGGACTGATACTGTACAAAAAGGCTAGAGGCCCGCATCGCTAGCCTCGCTGCCCGTGGACCGACCGACCACACAAGTTCGGAAGAATCCTGAATCCAACATAAAGCCATGCTGAATCTGACCTACTGCGCTGATGTCCTCAAAGTGCGAAGACGGGTCATAGCTGCTCGTGACGAAAACGCCATCCTGGTGGCAGAGAGTGGCAAAGGACACTTCTGGACGAAATGGTTCTGTGTGGTTCTGGGTTTGCTCTGGTGTTGCCTTCAGACAGAGGCTCCATGCTTACTGTTGTGCAGACCGGAAGAGAAGATTGACGGCACTTCGAATGTGAAGGCCAGCTGACATGGCTGGACGGCTTCACTAATTGTCATCATGAATCAGTCTAAAGACTTGAGGTCTCGGCATGTTGTAAAACGGTTCGTACAACACACAGAGCTCTTCACGACAGCTTGGACGGAGATTATTGCGGCGATCTGTAATGTCCCTCGATGTTGAAGGTGTTCTCAAACTGTGGCAAGGTCTGCTCTCAACGGCAGGGGGACATCTGAGGGGATCAAACGGAGAGAGACGGCTGTGCGGATGAGAGTGAGAATGTCTTTTCTCTTGAGAGACGGCTGTGCGGGGGGGAAGACCACCAGTTTGGGGAGAGCCCGGAGCCGAGGCCGCCGAGGCCCCCGGCGGCCGTGCCGTCGGTCACCGGCTCGCGGATCTCGCTGATCTGCACGAACCTCACCGACCGAGGCGCCTACACAGCGACTCTTAAAAAGGGGCTCTTAAGCTCCCCGCTTGTGCTGGATGGGCCCCAGGAGCTTCAGGGCAGGCTCGATCTCTCTTTCCGGGTCTGGCAGACAGCAGACTGCTGAGCCGCGTCCGACCGAGAGCATCCAGTCGCACGGGGCCCATTAAACAAGCCACGGCGGCTTGAAGTCTCCACCACCGTGCTCACAATTGCCACGTACTTCTCCTCGCGATTCCGGCTAGCAGCTTCATCACAGTGGAAGTCAGCCATAAGCGAGACAAACAGTGTCTTGCAAGCTCCATTCATCGTCTCTTCATGCACACAGCGCAGACGCACACACACACACACACACACACACAAATACACACGCTGTTCTGGGCTTGCACTACATTGGGAGCTGCGAGAAGAACACACGCGTGCTGGAACTCTTGCAACTATGCACACCCAAATTTGAGCTCGATCGCAGAAACCAGACGCATGCGCAACACCAGCTACGAATACAGATCATCCTTCCCCTAGGGAATGCCGCAACAATAGACGACAGGCCACAACACAACCTGGGACACGCATCAACGGACGCAGCAAAACACACATGAATGCTGAAGGTCGGAGCAGAGCTCGCGACGATGCCAAACAAACGCTTTCAGAGCGAAGCATGCGCGCGACGCGCGAGAGGACCAAGAGTTCTTCAGATTCAGATGCTTGCTTCTTCGAGGCCCTAGGCTCGACTCCTTCGCGGCGATGCAGTGCGCCCATGACACCATCCTTGGTCGCTATGTGGATGAACCGTAACATCGCCAGGAATTGATCTCAGCCACGGCTATGCTGTGCACAACAGTGCACGCGAGAAGCGCCCTGCACCTCTCCGACACGGCCTACCAAGGGGCTCTTTCTCTGAGCGTCGGGCATGACATAGACGTCATTCTTACGCTTCAGCCTCAGCAGAAGCTAGCAGAAGCCATCTCTCCGTCTCTAAGTCCGGCCTTGTCATGCAACCTCACCTTGTGCTACAACTTTGCGGGCACATAGCACTTTTTGAGACATCCCAGCACCCAATCTCCGTGAGTGACTTGTAGTGTGATAGATCACATAAAGCTGGACCTGACAAGAAGGGACAGTGCTCTACCGTTTGCCCGTGTTTCCTGCACAATGGAGCGGGGACCGAGATCTTTGCAGCAAGCATGGTATGTGGAAGATGCGCGCGGTCGAAGTGAAAATTGGACTGGTACGGTAGGTCGCAAAACGCTAACTGCGGGTTTCATGCTAATGTGCCTTGCGTGCTAACTTTAACCCTAGGGATGGTGTTTCATCGCAGATCCCCTCTCCGGCCGAGGCCGTGCGATCCAGTGTAACCGCAACACGGTGTTGAACATCCGGCAGCAAAACCCCACTGCTGCCAAGACATCCTAGTAAGCTGGGTAGTGGACGCAAGTTATTCAAAGCATGACTAGACTAAAAAGACTGTCAAAGGCCTTACTGCCTGGAACTACCACCAAAACCCCAGCAGCGAATCAAACAGAAACGATGTCCGATACGAAGAGTGCACAAGAGTGCTTCCCAAACGAGGACGGCACTGCTTTTGCGGGAAGATGATCTGGCACGACAAGGCAGGTTTCCCCTCCTGCCAAGCGCTTGGGGTGTCGCCTCCCCGACCCTTTGGCGCACCCTCGGCTCTTGCTCCTGGTTCTTTGTCTCCGGGATGGGGGCACCAAGGATGCCTCGCAGAGCGGCGAACCGGTAGATCCCCCCATGAGCCTTCTTTCTACCCACGAAGAAGTCGTCGCCAAAGCAGCCAATCTTTCTGGGCCCGCTGCAGATGGCGCGGATCACTTGACCTTTCACCTCCGTCCTCGAGGAATCAGCATTGCAAAGACCCACAAGGATTTGAGGTGCTTGGAGTTCAGGTCATGGAGTCTTGAGACTGAAATCTCCTTCTTGGTCAGTAGAATCCTGCAACTTCTTTCTCAGTGCAATGCAGAATTCAGAATAGGGCCAGGGTCGTTCTGATCTCTGGTGCCAAGTGGGTTTAGGGAGTATGACACGGATTCCGGGATCGAGCTTCATGGCAAGGCCTCGTCGGCTCTGCATAGGAGGGGTCACAGATGACCATCTTGCATCTGCGCAGGATGTGCAGGATCGGGTATGAGATTGGGGCAAGCGCTGGGCAGACCGGCACGAGGCCCGAACGGGCTCGGATGAGGCCGTTTTCAATACTATGCAGCTCTTGAAAGACCCGAAGCATTTTTGACTAGTTTAAAGGCTCGGGCAGTCAGGGAAGCCGAGCTGTAAGGTCCTGGGCTGAAAATCAGAAGCGCACATGTGAGTCGGGCTCTCCTGATCGATGTCGCAAGTGCGCTTGGGACTCAGGCCCAAGACCTACGCACCTCAAGCTACCAGCGTCTCAAGGCCGAGCTGATGACCTGCGGCCACTAAAGAGCGGACATGGACTCTTTCTGTCGGTTCACGGCGACTGCGTAGCCCGGAATTTACCCAGTAGTCGTCGAAGGCAAAGCCTGGTAAACCTTGCAATTTTCCTTCTTTCACCAGGCCTAAAGCACCGCACCAGGCTTCTGCAGCTCCTCCTGCCCGTGGGCAAAGCTGCCTGAAGACGGCAGGTGGACTCTCGCATCCGAGGAGAAGAACACGAATCCCAGCAAAAACCACAGGGTCACTGACCGGAACACTCGGGGGCGATTCAACTCTGTGCATGGACGACACCCATGTCTCTGCAGGCGAAAACTCTCAGCCAAGATGCAGATGTCTCCACGGGGACAGGACCCGTTCGCACTGAACTCCTTAGTGTCGAGCGCTACGCGGCTGGGAGCTTCTGAAGACTTCCTGGCGAAACCTCATGGGTAGAAAGCGCAAGCATAGTGAATTGCCCAGTTTGCAAGGAGAGGGCGACAAACCGACTACAGTACAGCAAGTCCCTTGGTGAACACAGAAGGGAGCTGTGTGGTTGGGGGTGCGCGTCACACTTTGGGTTTGGGCTCAGGCTGCTGTGACATGTCGTGTCTCGTCCCACAGGTAACCCTACGGTAGCCGCCAGCCGCCCAGTTGCCCTGCAGAGCTTCGTCTTGTAGTTGTACCGCTGCTTTTCCTAGACAGACATCCTAGGTTGGGAGTCTCACACTTGATAGCTCCTGCTTGGACAAGCTTCGACCTAACGGTACATGCACGAATCTCTTGGATGTTGGCAAAAGGAGTGAAAAGTTGGTCGGGTCGAGAAGGACACGGAACCGTGTCGATGAGCTGTTCCAGGAACACAGGGCCCGAGAAACTTTAAGAGGCCCCGCCAGCTTGACCTATCTCCCTGCTTTACCCCCATTCCAAAGTCACCTAAGCCCAAGAACGTCCAGAGACACCTGTCAGGAGGCTTCCAACCTGCCTCTGTCGTGAACTGTGCCTTCGGGACGCTCTGCAGGCTGCTCAAAGTCTGCACGCACAGTGGGCAAAGAGGGTCCAGGGACAGTGAGGTGCTGTTGAACTAAAGCACGGGGGAATCTTTACAATATGGATCGTTTCTGATGTGTGAAGAGTTCTCACTCCTGACGGTGTGTGCAAATTACAATGCTCAAGGCCACCGAAGAAAGGGACCAAGCACTTCATCCGCGCTAGTCTTCCCACCCCTAACGGACAGGACAAAGGGACAGAGGCCGCTGTGGCCTGCTGCACCTCTCCTGGCTGCTGGAGCTCCGCTGCACCATGGGCAAAGGTGCCTCGAGTTTTGCCAAATAAACTCGACCGGAAATTGGCCGGGTTGGCAAATAGGCGGAGTGACTCCATCCCAAAGCACATAAAAAAACCTGAGATGCCCTGAGTGCCTATTCTGCTTTCACACCAGAACAAGTGTACGCCGGTCCTAGGAACAAGAACGAATCCCTTGTACAGTACATGCAACGACTTCGGCTAACTCTTCACCTACGGCAGCCACAGTCCAAGTATGCGTGCCGGTGACACTCGTCTCCACGTGGGCAGCTACCCACCTTTTCAAAGTCCTGTCAAGCAGCTGGCATCCCAAGCAATCACACCGGGGCGTTGATTGCAGCTTACGGCTTACGGCTGTTTAGTCGGGTTTGGAGAATATAGGGGGTTGGCAGCTTGGAAGATCCCGACGCCTTCTTCAGGTCTCATAGCATTGCTCATGGAGTTTAAGCTTGTGCAAGGTGTCGAGAATCACCGATGGAATGAGAGGTCTACAGAATCTGGAAATGTTTCGCGGATCCGGAACCTTGGAAAAAGCCCAGATTCTCCGGCCGACTCCAGCATGGAAGAGTCTGGCTTGGAGGTTGCGGGACCACACGGGGACTGCGCAGGCTTCAGGACTCGGAGGTGAGCATAAGCATGACTGAGGGTTGTATTCAAGATGCGAGCTGAACAATGAGGTCAGAGCTGGCATATCGCATTCATCACAAGTGCAGAGAAATCCCACAAGGCCAAACTGCAATCTTGGGCTGTCCCGACACAGTGTTGTCTTGAAGTTGTAGAGCTGGATTTCCTGCAGGTGAGCAGATTGAGGGCAACTCCACACCGCGGCCCCAAAGCCCATAGACGCAGAGAACGAATATCTCGGCCCGAGGACGTGCATATTCCCTGGAGTATAGGCGCCTCCTTGGTCCGAACCACCCAGCCATCTGGGAAAGACCTTCGAGATACTCTCTGACTCTGTGCCGTGTGGGGCAGTCTCGTGTCCGGAAGGTCGGTCAGGCTGTGAGTGCACCGGTACTCGGCAAGTGCTGTCAGGCTTGAGATTCTTGCCTCGTGTCTCTTCTGCTGTGTTCACTACGAGGACGCCCGCCACTTTCTCCATGCAAAAAATGACCCGTAACATCTTCACACCAGAGGTGTTGAGGAACTAGGGCCCTGGCGGCGGTGGGCCGTCGTGTGCGAAGTTGCACTTCTCACCCAAAGCACCTTGTTCTTACTCGTTTGCAGGTGAGGCATGGCGGGAACCTTCGCGTCTTTAGCTTCAGCCTCACGTTCCTGCCGAGCATCAGAAGCCGCGGGCGAAGTGGCGACATTGTACGGAACCGTTGTGGCCGCCAGCCCTGGGGCTGGACAAGGTCTTCCGATCCGACAGAGTGGCTCGATGAGGAACAATGCCTCGTTCTGATCTTCCTGCTGCCAGCGAACCCTCCAAACCCGAAAAGCGCCGATGTGAGACGACGAAGGACACTCAATTGAGACTGAAGTCCGACCTTTGACAGTCTCAAGTCTCCTTTGACTTTCGGCAAGGCCAAGCTTCTGCCAGCCGTTTGCTTGCCAGCCGTTCGGTTGCCAGCTGTTCGACTGCCAGTTACTCGATTGCCAGCCATTCGATTGCCAGCCATTCGACTGCCAGCCCTGCAGGGCAAGACGGCTTTGAGACAGCATCTGAAGTCATGGACCTAGCATGCTATCTGGTTTTCGTGCTGCTGAGCACTCGCTGGCACAGGAAGCGACAAAAGCTGCAGGAAACCTGCTCCTGGAGCGCTGCAGTACTCTCGATGTCTACATGTCAACGGGTACTCAGCTTTGCTTACCCCATCTTCATCTCCCAAAGCAGATGGCAATAGTTGCCATCAGCATGGCTTCCGGCTTCCTGCTTGCCATGTTGTATGTCTCGTCGTTGCTTCTATTCTATCGCTGTCATTCCATCACGGAAGTGAATCGGGAAGGGCTCGGCCCGCCTGTTGGCCTGATGACAGCGCACGCCTGAGAGGGAGTAGGGAGTGGGGTTCGACTCATGCTTCGTGCAGCTGCAAGAGTGGCCGACTCCGCCAGGACACCAGGCGGCACCGGCACCGGAAGCTGAGGGTTGGGGCGTCCCGAGCTCATGCTCTCCTGAGATGCGTTGAACTGCGAGGCGAGACGGCAGGCAGAAAGTACTTCAACGGTCTTGCAGAAACCACAGGAGGTCGGAAGCAGCTACCAAAAGTCCCCGTTGTCACTTTATCAGACTTTTTTGCTCAGTGCCAAGCAGCCATGTGCGAAGTTGCAGGTGGAGCCCCGGCTGCAGTAGCCATTCGTGTGATGGATACCTCGCTCTCAGCACAAGCACTAATCTCTGAGCCGAGCTGCTGTCATCTTTCGCCTGCAACCGGCTCACCGGCGCGATCAGAAATTTGCTGCTCTCCTCTTTGTAGCCACTGTCACTAACAACACGTCTTCTTCCGTTAAATACTGGGCTGGGACCCCATTCCGCAGCCCCACTCCCAGACATGCTTCTTCCTCCATGGCCTGAGGTTGCGGGAGCCCTGACAATCTTGTGCGAGCTCTAACGTCTTGAAGTCTTCCACGAACAGCTAATGCGTTTCGATGCAACACCGGTCCCCGCCGAGTACTTTATCAAAAGGTGTGTCGCTGATCACAAACACACATTGATGGACACCATGTGTGCCGTGCTCCATGCCTGCAAAAGGCTTAGATACAGAACCACGACCCGGAGAGGAGCTGCAGCTGACTGCAATGCAACGATAGCCAAGCTGCATAGCTTGGACTTCTTGTAGGTGGGGGCCTGGGCCGTCTCGCCGAGGTCGTGCTGTGGAGCCTTCGCAGGGCTCGGGCTTACGGAATCAATGCCCCACACCAAGGTCCCTTCGATTCACATACGCTTCCTCCCGCAAGGCAGCCCACAAAAACCTCCACAAGTCTGTCAGCGCCATCCCCAGAGATTGTCTCAGGCGGTATCTCTTCTGAAACCTCTTCCGAGGCTGGCCTGCTCCGCAGCCGCTCCTTCGGCGGCAGCAACCGGAGTCACCGGAGCCACCGGAGCCACCGGGACCGGGACCGGGGCAGGCAGCGTGCCAGGCGTGCCTTCCCACAGAGGCGAGGTCGAGGTGAATTTCACATCTAGGACCGCGGATTGCGCCTGCTTGCTTTGGCGGCGGCACTACTCTCGGTGGACCCACCACCAACGGCTCGTGGAGGAAGTCTCGGCCACCCACCAGCGCCGGCTCGTGGAGAAAGTCTCGGCCACCCTCCAGCGACGGCTCGTGGAGGAAGTCTCGGCGGGTTCAATCGGAGATAATTTGGGTCTTGAGCTCCTGCCCCTGGTCCCAATGAGATCCCGAGGCCCGAATCCCTGTAAACTGCAGTAACCTGGCCACACAAATTACACAAAACAACCCCGTCTTTCACATCTAAGCCCCGTGCTGCAGTTGTCACCGAGCTGGCAAAAACCGCGGGAGTAGTGGCGGCACGGCACCGACTTGTGCCGCTTCGCCGTGGGCCACTCCCTGCGCAGAACACTGCTCGTTTGCAACATTGCTCTTCGGAGTGGCGCAGGACCCGGCAAATCACGAGACGTACACGATCTAGCCAGTCAGATTTTGTTGCAACAGGTTATACGGAAGCGTCCTGACAAGTGTGACAGCACCGACACTCTGAGGCCAGAAAAAAAGTTATGCATGAAATGATATGCCCGAGTACCAATACCAATTCCAACACCAATATTGTGGTGGTGGTGGCGGCGGCGGCGGCGGCGGCGGTGGTGGCGGTGCCGGTGGTGCCGGCGGTGCCGGCGGTGCCGGCAGTGCCGGCGGTGGTGCCGGTACTGATGCTGGTGCTGCTGCTGGTGCGGGGTCGCTGGTGGTGGTGCTGCTCTTGGTGGGCCTATACACCACAGCTAGAGTCGCAGAGTCCAGTCTCATTCTTCCTCTGTGCTTGCTTCCGACGGGACTGAAAGCAAACACTGCTCCACGTGAGTGCACTCAAGTTCGCTCTGTCTTCCAACTAAGGCAAAATCTAGCTGTCGCTCTCGGCTCTGGATGTCTTCTGCTGAAACGCGTCAAGCAGCGAAGTGCTCATTCGCTTCCGTGGATCGGGACCTTGGCACGAAGACATCATCAAAAGCAAGGCATTACGACGAGTCAAAGCTCGAGGATGCAGATCTGTGGACACACTCTTGAAAAGACGGAAGCGCTGACACTGCTCATCTTTGTGAGCTGAGAGCTTGCCGAGAAGTATAGTCGGATACTTCGGGCTGAAGGGGGAGAGGGGGAGAATCTTGCTGAGTCCGAGGCCCCGGCTCCATGCTTCCGCGGAAATGAAGGCCGAGGCCTGCGCGGCGGAAGGTTCCTCGAGAACAGGGAAAGACGGCGCTGCGTTCAGCCTCCCCCCCGAGCCGGACGGAACCGAGATCCCGGCGGCAGACCAGCAAACGCCGCCACCTTTCAGGGTCACTGTGACGAAGTGACACCGCGTGGGGGCCCCAAATGGCCTCCCCTAAAAAACTGAGAGCTGACAAGAAAGAAAGAGAGCCCCCCGGTTGGGCGGGCGGGGCCGCGCCGGCCGTGCCTCCCCCGCCGCCGGCCCCGGGGTGCATGAAATTGCAGGAGGCGCTCCGCTCGCAGTATCCTGCGATTCGCTTTAGGGCTTTCTCTCTTTCTCACAGTTTGGAGTGCGTTGAGAAAGCAAGACCTGACGTGATTCAGATTCGAGCGCTTCCGAAACATCCCCCAACTGAGCTCAGGTTGGAGTGACTCTGGCAGAGAACCTCGGATGATTCGCTCTTCCCGATGCTGCGACGAGAATAAGATAGAACGCGGTCCACCAAGTCAGCATTTCGAGGTTGATGCTCACGGGCCCTCTGCCAACATGCTGATCATGCAAACTTCCAAGCCCTCAAGCGTCTCATGAGTTTGCATGCACGGTAGCGTGGATAAACAGGTCCGGGCTTGTGCACTGTTTTGCACTTGGTGACAAGCCATGGCAATCCATGCACAGTCACCAAACGCCATCTATGTGAGGTCCTTTCAACCAATGGCGGCAAACGACTGTAGCCATTGCTGCAGCGCCGAGCTGAATCTGGTATGCCGTTGATGTCGTCTTGCGGTCTCACGAGCTCTGAGGAAGTGATTGTACACAGGCTGAGTGAAGACAGTGCTGCAGACGCGACGCGAAACATCAAGAGCCGCCTATCCCGTCTCACCAGAATAGAATGTGCTGCGAAGCAAACCAACACATGACGAACGTGCATGTGTACGTGACCCATTCCAATGTCACCAGAAGCTTGGAATCGCCAAGAGCATGCTGGGCGAAGAGAAAGGCGAAGGGCGCACTTGGCGACTTCGTCTCCTGACTTGACACCGCACACCTGGGCATAGAGCTTTCTCGCCGTGCCCTCGGACCCTGGACAGTTTGCCGTGCTGGAGTGTTGGAAGCTGACACGGCTTGAAGCTTAGCCCGCGTGAGCTCGGATAGGATTCGCTGACAGTGTGATCAACACGATCGGGATTCACAAAAATCCGGTCTCATGATGGATTCACTGCGCACAGTGCTCCTTCTGCCTGACTGGCAAGAGCTTCTGTTTGCTACCAAGTTATGAACACAAAAAACACACACATTCATTCATGGTCCTACTTTGGTCTGGAGACTGCACACCTTTAACCCGCTCTACCCCAAGGTTGCACCTTGCCCGTGTCATCGTACGCAAAGCCATCCACTGACTTGTTCAACCTGCATCCCGGAGGGCAGTCATCATGGCTGATTTCTGAGTCTCTGAGTCCTCTACTGCTGTCAAGCAACTCATAAATTACGAACTAAACTGACAAAAGCACATGTGTACATGTTGTGCATGGTATAGGTCAATTGAATTCCTCCACTACACTTTCCTCAATCACATATTAACCGAAGCCTGTGACTGTGAGACGACGACGACCACCACCAGCAGCAACAACAACAACAGCAAAAGCCACAACCACGACCACACAGCACACAAGATTTGCAGGCGAGGTGCATGTAAGTTCCCCTATGGATGGCCGCAAGGCGGGAGAAGCCTCGGTGTCTGTCATTGTTTAAAGGGAGAAGGGCTTTTCAGCTGCTCGAGCTGCTCGCTACTCATCCCATGTGTCCTGCTTCACCGACAGGCAGACTCCCCGAAGCTGGCTGCTGGCTGGTGTTGAGGGGCGGCTTACGGCTTTCGGCGAGTGTTGAGATCAAGCTTCAAGCGGCTGAGGCAGCTGGCTAAGGACATCGAGGTTTGATCAGGACGGAACACAGCACAAACCGAAAACCACGAAAGCCTGCAAACGGCAAGGAATTCGGGATCCGATGGAGGAGAGGCAATTTTCATGACCCGGGTGGCCCACCCTCTGGCAAGCCGCCCAGTCCGTAGATGGGGTAGATGAAAGGCGAGCCTGATAGGAAGACCGATCGCCAAAAGCCCAAAACAGAAGGCGAGGGCCCCGTTAACCGTTACCCCGTACGTCCGTCAGTCCTTCGACAACCCTTTAAGTCGGTTAAACCCACAGGGCAGATCGCAGATCCCCATCGCCTCCGTACTGGAGCACGGACTGAAGGTACAGCCTGGCTCCGGGCCGCCGCTGATAGCAGAATACTCCCAGAGATGCTGCTGTTTTTGGGGCCAAGCCATCGGCGAATTCGGCGATCCAACACTCCCGCTGCTCAAATGCACAGAGGCAGAAGGCTCTGGATCCCTCTGGCCTGCACTTCTGAATTGTTGGTCCACAGGGCCCGTTCAGGTAGCTGTCGTTGGGCTGCCTCACGGCGGGCTTTGTGAGATCTCTCGACCCATCCGAGCCCGAGTTTTTTGGAGCTCCCTTGAGCTCCCTTGAGCTGCCGGCAAGGCCACGGCGTGGCCGATGAAGTCAATGGTGGACTCCTGGAGGCCGAACCTCGGAGCGTCGGAGACCGGAGCCGCACCGCGGCCGCACGGCCCCGGGCCGAGCTTCATCAAGCGCACTTCAGCACTTCAGACCTTCTCACACCTTCTCACCTCTTGCAGAAGGCCAGCTGCTGCGCAGCTCATGTGAAAATGTCTGAGAGTCACGGTGTGACGCTCGGGTCAAGCCGCACTCGCTGCAGGGTTGAGGTGTCGAGTCTCCAGCTGCAGCTGGAAGTGTGGAATCTCGCTCCCCTCACCAACTGTGCTGACACTTGCCATGTCTTTTGGACACTCCAAACAACACTAATTTCGGAAGCTTGACTTGAATCCTCTTCGCATCACAAGACCTTCAACTCCAAGACACACAATGTGCCCTTGGGCACTGGCTTCTGGTACACCTGCGCCATGGTGTGCCGCCTTGGATGCAACAGAGTACCCAGGAACTTCTAATGCTAGCGAACCTCAAGGGTGGGCTTACCAGCACTACGATTCCTCCCCTCGAGCAGTGCAGGCCCCCGAAAGCAGTTTCGGCCCAGGATCCTCGGGTCGATGTCCTGATGCGTTCCAGGCTTGTCATCCTGCCCCGAGGATTCAGAGCCACACAGCCCACTCCCTTACAGAGCCCTTGAACGAGGAAGTAGTCAAGGACCTCCCAGTTCATGATGAACTGCGCAAAGTTGATGAAGCGGGGCCTCGGCGTTTCGCTACAAAGCTTCACCACTACCGTCATCCCAAAAAAGGCCCTTGCAGCTTTGAGGGTGTCTCGCAGGAAATATTGGGCCCGAGAGATGTTCAACATTCTAGAGAACGTCCTACGTGCGCGCGTCGCGCAGCGAAGGAAACAGCGAATCGCAAGGAGCTTTGCACGACTGCTCGACCCAGCATCCGATCGCACCTCTGTCCAAAGCACACGTGTGGCCGATGCCAGGCCCGAGTATCCTACGGAAATCCGAAGATCAAGGTGGGTTGGGCACCGGCTTTTCGAGCATCCCCATCAAGGGCGACTTTAAGCCGTCTGTGGCGGTGGCTGGCACCTCGCAATCGAGATCCGACTGCAGGGTCTCCAGATGCGAATAGCGAGGCCAAAGGCAAAAGGCAGCAAAGCATGGCGCATCCTTTACTCCGGCGTGAAGGAGCACGCGAAATTGTGCAAACCAATGTGCCCGCCTTGTGGATGTACTTGGCACCCGAGAACAAGCCGGCCTCCTGGTACCTGCAAACACATTGAATCTAGGCCGCTGAAGGAAGCAATCACCCGCCGAGCTCTGTGCTGGTAGACGTAGGTTCCCTCGCAAGATTTCCACCTCCGCCGTTCCAGGCTTCCAGCACACAACTGGACTGCCGGATTGGTCCGTGCCAGAATGTGGGCTACTCTCCGAGGCATCTGCTCCAAGTATCGCGAAACTTTCGTCTTCAACAAGATCTTCACCTCACAAAGAGAGCCAGGTGAAACGAAAAAGGCTGAAGAACCCCCAAAAGAGGTCTTAATCCCTGCTGGGAGCGGCACGAGGTCGCCCGAGGCCATGATGAACTTGGGGATCAGATCCACCTCGAAATCTTAAATCCCTCGGATGCATCAGAAACCCTGACATACGCCTGTTGGCCCCGAAGGCGCAAAGGGCAGACATGCTCACGATGTGCCAAACGTTGGTTCCTGAGGTGCTAGCATTCCACTCTCTGTTCTCCCCCAACCTTAGTGTCCAGATCCGGCGTTCTTACGTCAAACGGGTGCCCAACGTGTCTCGCAGGAGACTTTAACACTTCTTTGTCCTTGGTGCCCCGACTCCTTGGGCGGTGCCGAGCCAGGCATGAATTTTTGCCAGAGGTTTGTGATGTTCCTGGGCTCTTGGCAGGGCAGCAGTGGAAGCGGGTGTAAGGATTGGGAAGCTTGCTGCTGGCTGTGAACCACAAAACCTGCCGGAAACCGGCTGACGCCTATCAAGATCTCATGTTTTCTTCCGAGGCGCAAAGAGGCACAATCTCCACCTTGGGGCGGTCAGAGCTAAAGGGGTCGTCACGTCTTGAGGTTGCTGTCCATGTCCATGCAATATGCAGTCTCCAAGTCTCGGGTGCCACTACATACCATACACCGAAGACTGCAAAACCATGATACACATCGGATGCTTCTCCTGAAGTGTCTCTCCCGGATCGGAAAGTTTGCTTGCGATACAACTCTGCAAACGACGCCTCTAATTCTCTGATACCCACAAGGCCCAAATCTAACTGAGCAACCGAATGCTGCAGCCTTGTTTATCGACCACTGCTGCCCACTGTATGAAATCTCTAAGGCCATGCACACTGACGACGTAACAGCTTCTCCATAAACACTGGAAAAACCGGTTTGCGCTTGGAGTTCAGGGGCCTGGGAATGTGGCGGCTGCTGTCTCGTATCTAGGACAACGGAGCTGAGCCTCGACCTCCCTTACAAGCCGGTCCAGTCACGCTATTTGATATCAAAAGGGCAAGCAAAATACTGCCGAAATGGGCGTTGCAAAGCCTCTGTTGTTTACGCTTGGCGGCGCAGGGCAGGGATGTTCATATTGCTTTCGCTGATGGCGGGGGCGTCAGGTTTTCACGACAGAACTGTTGCGAGCTAGTATGCAAACTGTTCCAAGTTGTCGTTACTGCAGATGGAACTACGAATGCTACTGCTGATACTACCAAGACAAGCGCAACCAACACAGCTACTCGTGTCGGCGTCGCCGTGTCGGTTTAGTAGCAGGGGGGAGCGAAGACAAAAGCAACGACGTCACCGTGACAATCTCGGTTTGTGCTCTACTGTCCCCGCATTCATGGATTCTACCGGCAAGTTCCAACCCCATGCCCTGCGTACATATAGACAACAGGGTCACAGTGCAGCTTGAGCCGCGTGCCTACCGGAAACCCCCTGAACAGGGCTAAGGACCTTGAGTCTGAGTCTGTGATTTGCCTTCAAGGTTTTGAAGTCTTCTGCCCGGCTGGGCATCAGATCAACGACCCAAAGGACTCCAGGTCCAGGAATCCTGCGCGATTGCGCGTTTAAACACATTGAAACAACATCAACCTCGGTCCACACGACGGGTAGCAGCGCCGTGGCCACAATGACACCAGTCACTTAAGAGTTTCGGCACGGACAGGGACATGGGTCTTACAAGAGGAGCAGCTGCCCGACGAATGATTCCAAATGGAAAACGTCGAGGGTACCCCGAGCCTGAACGGTGACAACCAACAGCTTTGTTGTGGGAAGCACATCCCCCCACACCCCTCACACTACAAGGCCCTGACACTCTGACACTACTTTCAGAAACTTCAGCCGGTCAGGCCTGATTCGGTCTCTCCCGTCGGGCTTGGAAAGGCGAAGGGAGTCTCCGAATAGATTTTCGAGGCTACGAGTACCCCGTTCAAGAAACGGCTCGCATCCATTTCTCTGACTGTACATCCCAGGCTCCATAGCCTCCGGCAACTCTCTGGGCATCAGTGTCGCTGAGCTGCTCGTGGAGATGAAGACCCAAAGACGTTTAGGCCTATGCACTGTGCATCATGCCTGCACCGATCTTTGGGCCTTCATTTCACAGAATCTGGCATATCTGTTTCCCTGGCTGAAAGATCAGCGGCTTCATCAGCTGGCCGCTCCCTGGCGTCCTCTGTCCTGACAGTTGGCTGGGCCTCAGATTTGCGGGGAAACTTCTGGCAGCAATTCTGCCTCGATCTGAACAAACCAAGCTCTTCCAGATACTGCCGCAGACCAGCCCAGCACCCCCTGAGCCCAAGGTACAGGGCGCGTCGGTGCGGCAGCCAGTGCTGCGTTGCCTACGGCCGGTGCGAATCCTTCGACGACCTGCGAGATCGCAAAGCTTGAAGGACTGGCCAAACATTTTCATCTGATTGGGCTGCAAGCTCACGAGGTACGGCTTGGGGGAAGGTCTCGAGCTACGGTGCATCCACGCTGCCTGGGCCCACAGTGTACTGCACTTGGCAAGAGGAGATAGTATTCAAGTGCATGTCGGTTTCCAAACGAAGACCCGCCTTCCCAACACCGCAGCCAGACTGGGAAAGCATCGTGAGAACGATCTTGCATTCTAACTGCAATACTACGCGTCAGCCAACTAATCCGACCTCGTGTTGCAGTTGCTGAGATCTACTGTCTCAGCCCGACGCTCGTGAAGCTCTATTCAGATCAAGCAGCATAGTGGTTGTTCAGCCGCCGAAGTCCCCTACCTGCAGAACACAGCGCGGCTCCGTTGCGAGATTTGGAAACGCTGTGCCACAAGCTTACACATCTCGAACCAATCATAACCGACCCCAGAACCTGTGCAACTTCTGGATCTCTAGAGGCATGCGTTCCAAGCCATAATGGGGACTTCAGTGTGTTCCGTCAGCTGATGTCAGGTTTCAAGGACCCAGGAAAAGGCCCAATCTGTGCATAAGTCAGACAAAGTGGCATGGCTCCAGGTTCAGCCCGATGAGAAGCCGCGAGCCTCTGCCCAAGGGCTGAAGGACACTGGCTCTCAGCAGGGGGCCGAAGCTTCCAAGCTGGCAGCGGTAACGCTCTCAACTTGCACAAAGCTTGCGCCATGTTCAAACCATGCTGCGGTCGTATATCGGATGCACGAGCTAGTCTGAAAAGATTCGGTCCCCTGTGCCTGGAGCCCTGAAAGGAAGTCCTTTTGCTGCCGAGGCACGCTCTTCCATCTCCAGCTCGGGCTCTGCGGACCCGCGGGCACACGGAGGCTCGCAACTCAAGGCGGGGCGAGCTCCTCTCGCTTTACGCCGCGCGATATCTCGGGTTTCTTCTGGGTCCTCTCGGCCTGGGCCTTGAGCCGGAAAATCCCAAGTCCGAGCACCACGTGCCACTTCGCTTCAGTGTCGAGCTGGAGCCCAGGAGACCCTGAGGCCTCGGCCATAGTAGGGGTTCCTGTCAAGGTGCAACACCTGTCGCATCGGGAGAAGCACGTGTAGAGGTTCGTGCCATGGTGCGTACAGATATGGCAGAGTACCCGGCTTGTCATGGTAACACCACCTGTAACCCGGAAACACCCCTGAGTGCAAGAGCAAGAGTTTCGGGAGATTTGTGATGTTTTCGTTGCAAGAGGCAGTGCTCAGGCCTGGTCTAGGGCCTGGCGGATGTCTGGACGAAAAGACAAACAAACCTGCATTGCGGGGCGCCTTCTTGCCATGAACAGAGAGCAGGCCGCTCAGAATGCACTCTTTGAGGCCTTGGTTGAAGGGCAGGTGAGTTTGCCGTTGCATGGGGCCAGAAAGCAAGCGCTACTCGACGACTCGTCTCCATGTTTCGAAAGAGACCCATAGCCATATACAATTTCATCTGAGCCTTGTTTCGAAAAGTTCAAGGATGGCGCCGCTCAACTCTCTTCCAGTTTGCCGAGCATGTTGAATGAAGGTACAGATGGCTAGCCGGGAAAAGCTTTCTAGAATACTTCCCGTTGGGGTCCAGGGGCATCGGTCCTTGCCACAATGAGGCGGAACCACACGACAGATCCAAACACGTCCGCTCTGCTTTTTTGCTCGTGTGCAGAAGCTGCGAGTAGCGCTCGAGGATCAAGTTCTGCGCAGTGGCCACCAGGGATCTGCGGGGCAGTATCACACATGCCAGGGCTACCGTAGAACAGGAAGATCCGGGGGCCACTACCCAGACTCTGCACTTGAGGGCTATTGCATGAGCTCTGGGGAACTGGGGAATGATGTCATAAGAAACGCACTGTGGGAACCAAACACGCGATTTTATGCAGAAATCAAGAGGCTCTGCCCACGTTGAACCTCAAAGCCGATCACGGGCCATGCTATAGCTGCTAGGGATTGTAGCAATTCATGTTGGAACTTGCAGCAGAAGCTGCGACGGCGAGCCCCAGACCCAATGCGACAAGACGACGACAACATGAAGAATGCCACGTACATCAAGATTTGACTAGACATTGAACTAGAACTTTAGCAACAGAGCGGCATCAAGCTCACAAGAATCACAACCAAGCAACCCTGCTATCGCCCCGCAGTCACCTCAGCCAACCCTTCATCCGCACCTGTCGATTTGGTTGCGTTCCTCAAACCTTGGTGGGGGAATGCTATTTGAAAGAAACCTTAGCGTTGGGACGCTCGGAGTCGGGCATGTGATGCTACATGACCCTGTATCATTTTACAACATACCATGTTGACGTATGATATTATGCTATGCTACCGCCTATCGCATACGATGTTATACTGCGCGTGTTGCATGTATGCCGTACGCTGCGGGTGTATGGTTGTGTTCAGCAACAAAGGGATTGGTACAACTTGATAATCGAGACACTTATCGGCACCAGGTAAAGACGTGGACAGAGACAAACAGAGTTTCAGTAGACACATGGCAAACCTCCCAGGGGTGAAAGCCAGTGAACCAGGGCCGTGGCAACTTTCTGGCCGAGGAAGTCAGGTAGCTGCCTCTGTCGTGGTCGCTGCAAGAGTGCGCTCTGCAGCAGCAGCAGAAGAAGAAGAAGGTGAAGGAACAAGGCTCAACTCTGTACTACCCACACGCGAGGCAAGACGAGAAGAAGACAGAAGAATCACAAGCATCTCCGAGGCAGCAGTAAGAGCAGGAGTAGTGCAAGGAAAAAGCACCGGCAATTTGCTGCTGCAACGAAACATCACATGGCGCTGTTGCTGGGAGCAACCACCGCAGCGACAGCAGTGTACTCGTTCGATGCCAGAACAGTTCAAAGAGGCAGCGAAGTCTTGTCTCTGGCTAGTGGTCAATGGATTATCTCTAGACAGAAGCGGACAGGGATGCGAAGCAATCCAGCAAGAACCTCCTTTCCACAAGCTCTGACTTAAATGTGGAAGTGAGGAAGAAGCTCCGTTGAAATCAAAGCCGAGGACCGGACTGGCACGATCGATTCGCTGCATGCTCTCGAGGCCTGTCGCCACTCTCGCACCAAAAACTTTTCAGAACAAATCATAGACCACGGGGCCGCCGGCCGCCCCTGCCTGGTCTGCTCCTGGGAACCCTTAAGTCTGGCAACGCCGCCAAGTCCGCACACCGCTCCCCGCAAGCGATATTCCTGCACTCGACAAGGTGGAGCCGAAGCTAAAGTGAGTGAAATTCAAGCCTCTCAGCTCTCAGTCCTGCGAAAAGCATCTTGCAGAAGCACGCCGCTCTCATTCGGCGCGAAGGACACGTCGACGACCTGGCTTTGCAGCAAGGACCTTGTTATCCTGTGCAACAGCGGCAGTGAACGCATCATAATTGCTGGCCAAGCCACGACATCGAAGCGGTGAAGCACTGAAAGGGCCTCCTTGCAAGTTGCGGGGCTGAGAGCTTCTGTGAGATGTCCTCCATTTCGGTGGAGCCTCCAACTTTGTGGAGTCGTCCGCTCGGCCGATGCCAGGCCTTGGAGCTAAGACCCAGAAAAGGGGACACAGGAAGAAACCCGCGAATCATCTTCGCCTGTGATCGGGGAATCTCCAAACAAGCCAGATCCTGCAGTCCAGTCACACCAGGTGTCTGCCGAGACAGTTGCTGGCCTGTGCAACATGGTAACCTGCCGCTGGGGAGACGCACTGTGGTTTGCTAGGTCGAAGATGCGCGACTGAGGTTCCAGTGGTCCAACTGGGCATTGTACCCCTGGAAGGAAAGCAGCCACCTGATATGATACCAGGAAGAGCCTGCACGAACCTAGTGAGGCCCTAGTACTGCTACTACTACAGTTATTGCTCCACCTCCATACCAACAACGCCACCACCACCACGACCACCACCATCGGCAAGTACACTTCTCATACGATCACTCAGAGCACCCCCACCGAGGTCCAGACCCCGAAGATCGGGATAATTGTTGTTCGCGCACGCCCGGCACAACAAGTTTGCACCCCTGGAAGCCTAACGTGGCACGGCGGCAGCCAGGAACAAACTGACGCCGATCGTCTTGGAAGAGGAAAGGAGAGCGAATACCTCAAGCTTCACACGGAGCAGTCTTCGAGGCAGGTGATGCCGGAGGTCCGAGGCAAGATGGGCAGATGGTATCCGAGCGGCTGAACGAAGATCTTGTCAAGCCAGGTTCCAGAACCAGCTCCACGAACTCTGACACTTTCTCCTACAGGTTTTTGCGACTCACAAGGTCTCTGCACATGCAATTCGCCAGAAACTAGCTGGCCACTATATCCCTGTCTTTGGTGAGTCATCCCCTATACTCAGGGAGGCTCTTCCCGCCGAGCATTGTTTGCCGCTGCAATTAGCAGCCCAAACGACGGTGCCACACGTCCGTGCTCCATTAACACGGCATCCTACAGGCTGTCTCCGAACAACTTGAAAACCAGTGCAACCCTCCTTGAAACAGCGGGCGACGAAGTCTCGATACCTTGCACTCCCGTTGTCAACAGCACAACCCGAGACCGGCTTGAAGAGATACAGCACTGCTATGGGACCTCTTTGAGGGGGTCAGGAGTTTCAGCCTCATCCCACATGGTGCAAGGCATTGACATCGAACACCATGCCATCTGGCGGATCTGGCGTTCTCGTACCGGTTTGAGTTTCTTACAACTTGGGCTGCCCCAACTACAGCGGCCGTGTCTACAAGGGTTTGCAATGTTCTAGAACTTGCAACATGGAAATGTCATGGAGACGTCAGGCAAGGCGCGACTCCGCCTGGTCCATGTCCACCTTCTCCATCAGGCTGCACACTGGGATGCCTGACACATCTCACACTTCTCATCCACATCACTGGCAAGCGCAGATAGTGCGGCCACGCAGCAGAACTGAAGCCAAGAAAGATACCGATCAAGCGGGTTGCGCCTGCAGGAGTAAGGCTCACCAAACACCGACAGGTCTCGGAGTTGTAGGGCCCGAAACAGAGAGGGTACAGGGGCAAAAACAAGGCTGCGCATGAAGAGACACAATCGCACACCACAAATTACCCTTACCCGCTGCACGGACGAGTTGTCCAAAACATTCCGCTTCTCTGGCCGCGTTCTGCCAGGATGCACCATCAGAACGTGGAGGTAGGAACTCCAGAAGCCGCTGCGAAGGCCTAGCTTGCATCAGCACTCACCCAAGCGGCAGGGCTCTGCCCGTGGGAAGTAGTCTTCACACGGCAAACAAGTATCTCTCGCTGTACGCCGACTTTTGCAGATCGAGCTGCCTGTCATGGAGCCAAGCCACCTGCAATCGAGGATGGTCCAGCGTCAAAGAGGGGTGGGCTGAGAGGTGCGTAGGTACTCACTCTTCGAGCAAGTAAGTCACAACAGCAAGCCTTGCATGTGCAGTTGCAGCCAGATGGCTTGAGCCCTGAACCAAGCCTCAAAGGCGGAGAACAGACAAAGGGTTTAGGGCTCACTTGTGCCTGGCCATCCTGGCCGAACGATTCGTGTCGGTCCCATCCTGGTCCAGGCGCTGCACGAGAACACAAACCGACGTAGAGACGTAGAGGTAGGGCAGGTAGGGATTGTGCTTCCATGGAGAACTGTGCAGCACCTCATGCCCAGAGCCATCGTCCCAATCGCTGAAGCTGGGCTCCACCGAAATGAAACCTCCGCGGAGGACGCTCTGTGGCCAGGCAGGGTGTTTCACCAGCACAGATCTGAAGCGTGCAAGTATGGCTGCTGGCACCACGCTTCAGAGCCGACATCAAACAGCGCCTAAAGGCCTCAAAGCTCCCGACTCCAGCTGTTTCAGCTCTCCGTGCATCCCAGACGCCCAGGCCGCGAGCGAACAAACGTCTGGCCTCTGCACGGCTTCAGCGATTTCGACAGGGAAGGCTCTAAGACTCTAAGGCACTCGTGCCAGTCTGACCGTCTACCAGTAGTGTGCTGAAACACATGCTCACGTTCGCATGCAACATCTAAGAGGTATGACACTTTTGGGGGATATCGCCTCAGATCTGATGGTCGCACCTGCCCCGAATTCAGCTCGTGGTCCGGTACAAAGGGCCATGCGCCTGAGCACAGAGGGTTGAGTTGAGACACTTGGACAGCGGTGTCCTCCTCTGCAAAGACTTAGACACGAGTTGCTTTTTTCCTAACGACTTCTTCTTGCTTCTTGCTTGCTTGCTGTTGGGGTCAGGCGACTCGGCGACTCGGAATCGCACTCGAATTCTAAACCATGCGGTTCTTCTCACCCTGTCAACAATTGGCTAAATCACCTGTGCTACCTGTCGTGCTGAGAGCCCTCAATGCCGGCCCGTTCCCCCGACTGCAACGTGCTCAACTCAAATCGCTTCGAAGATGCCCGCGGCATCGCGAAAAGCCTGCAAAGAGTCGATCCGGCAGTTGTCCACCTGGGATCATGCGACAGTGCTTGCCGGTGGCAAATGCACAAGACTAAATCAGTCACATGTCCAACTAGGCCTCATATTGACTTTGACGTCTGCCCTAAAGATAAGATAGGATAAGATCTACGAACATCGTCGACCCTTACCCGCATCTGCTCCAGAAGAGGCAAGAGGCTCAATGGGGCTTGGAAGCGACTACCTCCGCCTCTCGCCTTTTGCAAGACTAGCCGTCGAATGTAAAGGGATCACGTCATGCATGCCTGATGTTCAGGGCAGTTGTTTTGCCTCCCTACGGCCTGACGGTAGAGCTCAAAGCTGCGTAACATGAAAGCAGTCGTTGACCGCAGATGCGCATGAACAACGCTTCTGCTTCCAATGCAGCCATCCCACTCCACCTCTGCGGCCAACGTCGATCCACTGCGCAGCGAGGTCACAAAGGCTGGTTCCGCCGGCCCTGATGAGATTTGTCGTTCTATCTTTGAGGCTCCGAATTTTCATCTTGGCTTCTGTTGTGCGCAGGCCTTCTAAGTCCTACATCATCATCATCATCATCATCATCATCATCATCATCATCATCATCATCATCGCTCACGGGTGTGCTGCTTCACAGTGACTGGGTCTTCAGATCTCACCCAAAGTCCGAAGCAGCTTCCATGTCCACTCCCTGGTCGGCCTCATCGGATGCAGCAAAACCACCGGCCGCGACGAGAGTGCCCCCAGGGCGCAGCGACTGGCGAAGTCTCCCGGGGAGGGAGCACGCTGCCAGCGCCTTGGATTTGGACTTGCGGCTGCTGGAGCGATTTTGTCAGGAAGTGGGTGCGCCCCGGCTACTTTCCTTTTTTGTCTTTTCGAGCTGCCCGGCTTGCAAGGTTTGCTTCATGGCAAGCCCTTGGTCCCCGGCACACGCACCGGCAGCGGCGACTTCACGTACCAGCGGCTGCTGGGATCCACAGCCTGAACATGAAGCCTCACCGATCCACATCCCAAAACGCCTGGAAACAAACTTACTAAGATGGAATCCTTCAACGAACTGAAACTGTGTGTCCGCAGTGACATGGACTGGTAGCTGCGCAATCGAGCGTCAGACTTTGCTTTCACGATTCTGACAGTGACGCAAGATACACCTCGATAGGGTGCTCTTCGGCTGCCCAGCAGCATACATCTGCTCAGTGCCGAAGTAGATGTCTGTGTGGTAGCCTGAACCCAACGGCAGAACCGAAACTCGCAACTCAATGTGGGGTCCCAGCCGGGAGGCCGCAGATCTCGCCCGGCGAGTTGAGAGCTTCAAACATGGCCTGGAAGTACCTGCGCGTTTGAGAGGAACGAGCCTGGGGCAATCTCCACAGTCGGCGAAATCTCTGGAACCACAGAAAGCGCTTTCTGATCTCTTTGGCATTCTTTGGCTACTTTCCAGCTGGACTGTGCTTTCCGGGTCGAGTCTCACACAGCAAAGCGGGTCAGCTCTAAAACCAGCACGTAAATGCTGTGGCTTTGACATCATGTTGGATCTGGATACTTGTTGGATGTTTCTGCACGAGATCTCTTGCGAAATTGGGTGCGGAGTTTGTATCAAGACACCTTGAAAGTCAGGACCTATCTATGCTATGCCTAACTTGGCCGAAATGATGCTAGCTGCAAAGCGCCCAATGAATTAAAGGTTCTCTTTGTTGTTTAGTACATAACCAGGAGATCCGCCCAGGCCGCCCAGAGATCGGGCGGTCCGGCAGTAGTCGAGATGCACCTATCGTCAACCAATTAAGCGCCAAATGGCCCATCCCCACCAGCTCTGAGTGCACCTGCGATGAACGACGTAGGCATAGTTCGCAATGGGAGAGCATCTCACTCGAGCGAAGCTCCCCAAAGCCGGCTCCTCAGCGACTCACCCCAGAAGAGCGGCCCTACAGTGGCCTCAGCCATTCCTTCTTCGCCACATATTCCTCAATCCTGGGCCTCCTCCCCTTTTTCCACTCGAACCAGAAACTCTGAAGTCAATCAGGCCGTGCGGCGAGGTCGGCACATCGGAACTCTTGGTCGTTACCTCTTCAGGGCATGCTCAAAACTGGGAGCATGCGGTGAGCATGCGTGTAACAGCGTCATGATCCTACATCACAATCGCTACGCGCAGTGTTCTTGTGAACACGCCTGCAACTGCAAGATCGCCCAACCAAAACACCACCACCCGAAGCTGAAACACGTCGCTCCGAGCTGCGTCCAAGGATGGCGACATCAAAGTCTGGCACGGTGTTGACGACCTCCTCTCCAAGCATGGACTCAGAAGCATTCGCCCTGAGCAACAGAGCCACCCGGCCTGGATGCTGCGTGCCAGAGAACCGCTGCGCCAATCCACAAAGTCCTGCACGTAGTCGAATCCTCCACTCCCCAAGTTCTCAATTTGGCACCCGTCTTGAAGATCGGCTGTCATTGCGGACCCTATGCTAGGAGCTGAGGATACAGGCGGTTCAACCGAGGAAGGCCTTCCGACAGAGCCCCATACCGAGATGAAAAGAAGTAGCAGAAGAGCAAAGTGCCATATGGGATCTCCGGTCCTCGATGATCAAGCACAGATCCTTGCCAGGCAAAAAGTCATGCATCACGACGAGAATGTGGCCAACAAAAAGAGAAGTTCGGACTCCAACTGCGCAGCTCCAAACTAGAGAATGCTAGGAAAAGACGTGCACGCAACGCGTTGTGAGCGCGTCGCTCGGACGCTCGGACGAGGCCCAGTCCCAGGCAGAAGCCTCGAAGGCCGGGCCGGGCCGGGCCGGGCCGGGCCCCGGCGGCAGAATTCTGGGCCGAGCTGCAGCTTCCACCGACTCGCACTGCCTGAGGCCACGAGTGAAACGCACCCCGCGAGCTTCCGGCGGGCACAACAAAGCTTCTTAAAGCACGACAGAGAAGATCATTCGCCATACCCACAGCCTACCGTGCCTACAGCAAGTTCGCGGCTCAACTTCACGAGGGACGACTTCAACATCACCGTAGCTTCGCTGCAAGAGACACGCTGTATGCCCTCTGCAGATCCTGGCTGGTTCCCTGCCAAGCGTCTTGACAACCACGGCATGGCCACCTGGGGAATGGCGCAGGCCGATCACTTCCCACGCTGCCGCTACTGTCTCTCGCTTGTACCAGCCTACCCTTCTCGGACACGAAACGCACGGGACAAAGAGAGGCGGGGCGAGCAATTCCGTGTGAGCCTTCTCCTCCGAACCCCTGCCCTACCCCACAGTGCCCCACAGCCCTAATTTTGCGAAATTGCAAGATCCAGATTCAGCGACTCTGGCGGTGTAACCGTCAACCCACACACAGCTCGTCCGGGGCGCGTATGCGCTGGTACGCGGAGTCCCGCACCCGCGTTGCGACCAGAGGGATGCCTTCGGCCGTGAGCTTCTTCCAGAATCCTCAGAAGCGACGACCCCAAACTTCCAGGAGTGCGATGCTGGCATGGTCCCAAATGCGAAGGCGAAGGCTGCTTCATTCTCAACTTCAGCTAAAGTCCAGAACAAAGTCGCAGCGAAACCTGCAGAAAGAGCATTGTCTGCCAATGTCCAGGACCTTCACCACCCTGCTGAAGCTTTGGGAAACACTCCTATGCTGGCAACCGAAGCTCGAACTTGGCGGTCAGTCGCCTTCCTTGCGGTAATGAAACCGCCGTACCTCTCGCGTGCGATAGACAAGAGACACACTGCTGAGTTGGCAAACGCAAAGATCTCTTTCCTGTCGAGTCTGAAAGCGCATGGATGGGATTACAAGTCATGACAGTAAGGAAAGCCAGGACAAACAAACAATCAATCATGTGGGAGTTTCATGTATTCGTGCGCAGCAAACCATCACAGTTTTGGAAAAGCAGCTCGCTACTTTTGGCCGACAAACGCGCTCCTTTACCAATGCATGCTTTCCGGAAGTTGGAGATATCTTGTGAGCCATCCGATATCCTAGTTCCATGAAACTCTGCCTGACGAAGCATCCACAAGGAAGTCCCCTAAACAGTCCAACTCGGATGCTCGCCGGGCTGCAGCACGGGCTCCTCGCCCAGCGCCGGCGACGAAACTCCGGTCAAAGCAACCACGGCAAGGCCCAGCCGGTCCAGCGAAGACATCCCTCACGCCGGCACCGCCGAAGCTCCCTGAGCCGACAGGGCACACAAGGCTGCTGTGCACGCTGACCGCGGGTCTTACCTCGAAGGCAAATTGTGAGCCAGAGCGTCCCAGCAGGAGTCTTGTGTGATGGCGACCGCAGTCGTGCTTTCGGTGGCCGGCTTGCGAGGGCCATATCACCTGCCAAGACGCGGCTGGCAGGACTTGGACTTCGGGCCTCGAGGTAATGCACATTGGCACCAGATGCACATGCCTGACGAAGTCTCCTTGCACAGGCTTTCCGACAGGACCAAGGCTAGTCCCCAGGCTTGGTCATGGAAGGGCCAACCAAAACCTATTTCTGCGCTAAGCGGCATTCGTGGCGGCTCTTTGGCATCCACTGCTTTCGTCGGGCACGCCATGGTTTGAGTGTGACGTGATCATGGCCACAGGTGGTTTTGCGAGTTTCCGAGGGTTGGGAGGCCAGCGGCCGGGCTGAATCGCTGAAGAAGACCAACTTTGGCTTGGCTCCAAGCCGAAGTAAACCAGATGTCAAGTCACACACCCGGCTACCTTTGCCAGCGGCCCTAAGTTGAAAAGCAAGCCCTGAGAGCCATGTGCGGCGACCTGTGGCTCTGACCAGCACTGAGCCACTTTGCACGGTGCACCCAACATCACCGGACTCTTGCTGTACTTCTCCGCCGGCCCGCAACCACACGCTGTCCTTCTCGGCACCGCCCTAGTACATTACATGTGCTAAGCAAGCTTCTGACTTGGCCCAGAGCCGGTGCCGCAAACGATGACATCGTATTCCTCATCCATGACCTCCAGCGCGATGGGGTCTCTTTTGATTCAGTCTGAATTCGAAGCAGCGCACCGGAGAAAAGAACTTCGGAGTTTGTGCTGGCCATAATCGCAGACTCCACTCGAGCGTGGTGCATACGTTGCCTCGAGAACTGAAGCCGAGCAAAACCGTTCCACCCCGCCTGGAGCCTTCGAAAGCTCTGGGCTGCAAAGCTTGAACCAAAGACTGCGACACCAGGAGGGTGGGTGAATGCTGCAGGCGGCTGGACAGAGGGTTGCGATGGGTCCTGGCATAGAAGGACGGATCCGAGAAGCTTTCGTCACAGACAGCCTGGCATTCTATCAGATCTTGAAGAGAAGAAAAATGCGGCTAGCTCCACAATTCTGTTGACGGCCAAAAGGCTGGTGCGCTGCATCAGCTGCAGAGATCTCACAATCTTTTCTGCACTTCCTCGAAACAAGCGTCTTCCTCGCACTCTTCTTCTTCCCCGTCCTCTTCTGTGATGTTGCCTGGATCATGATGTCACACAAGGAGGTTTTGACATCTTTAGGGAAGAACGGCACACCCACCCAGTACGCCAACATGCCTGCGCAGATTGCGCGAACCATGTAGTCGTGCAAGAGGCACTCTGTCACTACATAAGTGCATGGCTGGTGAACAAAACGCCTGCATATACCTACCTACATACACATACACGCATACATGCATAAATACACGTCCATCCATCCGTCTATGCATCCATACATGCCTGCATACATGCATACATACATACACACGCAGATACATGCATGAATGCATACACACATGCATGCATGTATGCATACATACGTATATAAAACCATGTTTTTGCGAACATGTGCACTTGCCTTCAAGACGGTCAACAAACGGGCGCATGTATGTATGTACGTAGGTACATAGGTACGTAGGTAGGTATGTATGTCGGGAGCTTAACTGTTCGTATGTGCATCTTGCACCTCCTATGGTCATCATCTGCAGGTGTGCTCATGCTTTGATCGAAATTTATGTATGTCTTACTTGCCGCGGTTTGATGGTAGCTCTTGTGCTTTCTCAGCTGTTCAAGTTTCACCAAGCTACCTGACATGGTTGCGTTGCCCCTGGCCGTCCAGGAGAGTTGCAGACCACAGCTCACCACATCGCCCCGCATCAACCCCAAAGTTTACTGTGGCAAAGGCGCCCGCTGCCGCCCCAAGAATGCGCCGGACAGTTTCCGGCATCCCCAGGGCCAGCAGTGCCTGCTGGGAGTTGGAGTCCGTTGCAGGCGCAAAGGATGTACAGTGCACCATGGAACGGAGCAAGCAGGGTCGTGGCGATAGTATGGCATGGAGCAGCAACAAGCAAAGCACTCGCAGAGCAGCAGCAGCAGTAGTAGGTAGGGGCATAGTTGGAGGAGGAGGAGGAGGAGGAGGAGGAGGAGGAGGAGGAGGAGGAGGAGGAGGAGCGGTAGTTGTACGGGCGGACCTGATATCCTGCAAGCGCGTTTGTGGCTTTCTGCTGTTGTGAACACTATTTCCATTGCTATCAGGGCTGAAAACCAGTGCTATGCAACCATTCCACCACTACTACTACCACTCACCTCTACTGCTCGTAGTGGTAGTGGTAGTGGTAGTGGCAGTGGAAGTGGCAGTGGCAGTGGCAGTGGCAGTCGCAGTGGCAGTGGCATGGGCAACGGCAATGGCAATGGCAGTAGTGGGAGTTGTAGTCGTAATCGTAAACGAGGTGGTAGCAGTAGTAGTCGTAGTAGTAGGAGCAATAGAAGTAGTAGTAGTTGTTGTTGTTGCTGTTGTTGTCGTAGTTGTTGTTGTACTTGTAGTAAGCCTCTCGGCTCAGGAAAGGTCAGGCTAGTACAGTTGCCTTTTTCCTTTCTTGCCATGGCATTTGTCAGTGCCTGAGCAGTCCCGGTCCCAAGTCCGGGAGGGAGTATTAGATTTACAGCTCTCTAACATCTCCCAGAGGTGAGGGTTGTCGGTATTGCGAAGCCGACAGGAGCCGTACTCAACATGTGTGCTGCGAAACAGCCTAGTGGTTCGACCAAGCATCAGCCCGTTCCTAAAGGGAAGGGTAAACGCTCTTATCAAAGGGCAGCACGTAAAGCTCTGCTTGAAGGTAGTGCGGTCTACAAGGGAAGGACGATGTCGTCAACAGAGCTTGGAGTTGCTCCGGCACATGTAAAGCCCACCAATCCCGGCAGAAGGACTCGGCCTTCGAATTTTACAGAAGATAAGAATCTCAGCTATCTATCCTGGAACGCAGGATCTCTCACAACAGCAGTTTGGGAAGAGTTACTCTCCGTACTGCAAAGTGCCGCATTTCAGGATGTGAAGCTGGTAGCAATTCAGGAAACACACTGGAGGGGCTCTTGGCAATTCAGCAAGTCAGGCTGGACGTGATCAGCTCTGGTTCCACAGGGGAGAAGGGAGCCGGGGTCCTCATAATGGTGCACTCCACGCTGTGCAAGTCACAGGATCTTCGCTACAACGAGGTTGTTCCAGGAAGAGTTCTCCAGGTCCGGGTGCCGAGCAACGGCATCTCACTGGACGTCTTCAGCTGCTATCAATACGTTTGGCGCTCTAAGGAGACAATCGCTCAGAATAAGGAAACCCGGAAGCAGACCCTTCACGCCCTAAGTAAGTCCATCCGAGCTGTTCCCAATCGCAACACTCTCTTTGTGCTAGGAGATTTTAACTCCTCGCTCAAAACCGACAACAGCGATGGGCAGTCTCTTTTGCACCGAACATGCAGGGTCCCAAGTCGGCCGCAGGAGCTGTGTGACTATGCACAATCTGACGTCAGAAAAGGCAGTGAGGAGAAGCTGAGCATTCAATGCGAAGCTGCTCCGAAGATTGAAACGAAACTTCTTCCCGGGCGGAGTGGGAGGGCCGAAAAGCTACGAGTGCAAAGTATCAACTGCAATCGCTGCAAGTCAGCGATGGGCAGTCTCTTTTGCACCGAACATGCAGGGTCCCAAGTCGGCCGCAGGAGCTGTGTGACTATGCACAATCTGACGTCAGAAAAGGCAGTGAGGAGAAGCTGAGCATTCAATGCGAAGCTGCTCCGAAGATTGAAACGAAACTGCTTCCAAGTTTGTCACGTTACTCCGACGACTACAAGGCTCGAGAGAAGCTATGCACCAGCGAAGCAGAAAAGCGGGCCAGCTCGAACGATCTGGAAGCGATGGCTCTCTGCCAAGTCTGCCAGAAGCAGCTGACCAGCGACATCCTGGAGGCAATGTTCCAGAGTCCTCCGCTGTTGCCACCTGCCCCGCCACTGAATTCGCGGAATGTCCTCAGTCAGCTGATACATCCATGTTGCTCCGGAGCCACGCAAGCACTTCGGTGTCACGCCTTGGGGCCCGTCAGAGGTGGGAACACCTAAGTGTCGGAAGATGGCGTCCCAGCGACTGCGGAAAACAAAAGGACTACAGTTGAATAAGGGCTCTTCAGGAGGCAGATGTCCAAATAAAGAACTCAGGAAGTTCACCGTGATGGCGTCAGAAATCTTTGCATGCTGTCGTTGCATATATCGGCGGGTCTTGCCGCCCACGATCCTGACGTATGCTAACGGCAGGTCAGTCAGTAAGTCCTGCGGCAGGATTAGATCACGCCGCCGCAACAAAAGAAACTCTCCAGGTCGTAGCAGGCCGTTGAACCCTAGCAACAGCCCCGCAGCGAAAAGTGGCCAAGACCAAAGGAGCGCCAGAGCAACGGCGGCTTTAAATACCGACACAGGTATGACCATGGATCGTTCACCTGGCTCTTCCTCTTGCCAGCGCGTAAGCACCGACCACGCCGCAGAAAAGAATTGCCGATAGTGTTTGAACTGATCAGTGCATGCATTGATTGTTTCGGAGAAAATATATCTAGGCGAACCACCGTAGAAAAGAAACTTGCCGTAGGCAACTAGAACCGTGCAAAGAAGCAAACCTGTGCTGCAAAGCTGGTTGAAAGAGCAGTCAAGCTCCAGCTCGGCCCAAGAACGAAACTGCTGAAAAAGTTGGTCTCGCCTGCCTGCAACCACCGCACTGAGGCCACCAGCCGAATCGAGATTGACTTGAAGGCGTTCTTCAGTGTAAGCCCGGCGGCGGCGAGGCATCAGCGCTAAGCAGACTCAGCAGAACCACGAGCCGCGACCAACCGCCGACGGGGCCACGACGATCGTCGGCTAGCTTGACTGCTGCCAAGTACCGAGTGTCGCCTGCCAAGAAGCGCCTAAGCCAGAGTGGCAAGCATCCAGAAGGCGGTCTCAAGGGCTTTAGCCGAGATGGATCATCCGCTGCATTCTCGTGTGTGCCGACATGAAATAACGACAGGTATAAATTGCCACCGACAAGGTACGGAAGACCAGTACTCAAATAGTAGTTGAGTTTGGCGCTGCTAGATCGCCCCTTCGTGTTGCAGCCTATGACAACCCTGCTGTCTAGAAGGATGCCGAAACGATGATCTGCCGCGACCTTGGCGAGGTGCTTGACGAGACTGCGGTAGGACAGTTCTTCATTGATGTTGATGTGGTTTGCTCGCGCGAATCTGTACTGGAAGAGTGTCTTCCAGGGCAAACAGCTCCCTAGGTCCGCGATCCACCTAGGGGGAGTTGAAGCTGGGCGGGAGTCGTCAACATCACGATGCCTGAGCAGCTGAATCGAAGGAAGCTGAAGCTCCAAAATCCGCCTGCACAAAGGTAGTGGATAGGACCCTGAAAACTCACGTAAAGAGCCACCCACCACAGGTTCACGACCAAAGACCTCCAGAGCGCTGGACCGGCACGCGTCACGCGTCACCGAAAAGTTTTGCACCAGCTCGAGTGAAGGAACTCAAGTCTGAGGTGACTGCCTTTCAAAGGGCAAGAGCACTTGGCTCGCAGCTGCAAAAGCGAAGGATTGTTGAACAACCAGCATGAATACCGCTCAAATGGGGTGCCAAAATTACAGAATGCAAGCTTGACAGAGTGATATCCCACACGAGCTAGCTTCCTGAAAGCACCCAAAGCAAACATAGTAGACCCCACTGGTTGTTCAGCAGAGCCAAGGATACCATACGCAGCTGCCAGATTGAGGATGAAAGCAACTCGCCAGGCTAGCCGGTTTCCTTCTTTGGTGCTCCTCAATGTCAAACCCCCAAGGTTCTCGTCGACTCCGGAGGTGAGGCCTACACATAGTGCCGAAGCTTCCGCAGTGAGGTCCCAAATGTACGTAAGCCACTACTCTGCGACATACTAAACCCACAATCTGGTCAAAGCAAGCTGAGCTCATCACGTCGCCGCTAGGCCCGTCCGAAACATCGAAACCAGGATGGACGCGTAAACCAAACTCGGATGCAACCAAAGACAAGTTCCCTTCACCTCGAAAGATTTCGACCAAGTCAAAGATCACACCTTCAGTCAGTTGTGGCGGCAAATCCTGATGTAAAGCTTCAAAACCACCTTGGTCGCCTAGGCGTGCAATGAGCTCCGCAGACTTCGGAAGAAGAGCTGTATGGTAGCCCTTGTGATCCGCATACCGCAAAAGGTCTAGGCAAGCAGCGCGGCTGATCGAGCTTTGGCAAGCACCAGCTGCGAATCCAGAAGCGTCCGTACAGAATATGCGATCTAGTGGGGCAGCTCGCAAATCAGTGAAAATGCAAGGACTCAAAAGCACCAAAGCCAAAAGCTCTTGCCTAGCATCGTGCGACAATTTGAACACCTCACTTCCAGCTCGGTCTCGCATCTCGTGATACACTTGGGTCAATAAGCACATGAACGGTCGCCGAAACATGCAAACGAAAACCCAGCATCCGACAATGCATTGCAGGAGGTCCTTGGTACAGAAACCCAAAAGCACGAGCTGGAAAGTGAGGCATCCCAGAGCCGTAGTGCGCAATCGTGGTGCAGCGAGGTCACCCCGGATACCATCCAGCTCCCCGCGGATTGTTCCCTGAGTCGCATTCCGAACCTTCTTTTTGGCGGAGACCCGGAGCCCGGCTCGCAAGTAAGCCTCAGAGGCCTGTGCAAAAAGTTTCGCATCTCGTCGGCTGGGGCTCGGTGTTCTACCAACCTCGCTCAGGTCGATCACTAGTAGGAAGACGTGGTCATCGATACATAACAGATCGAACCCGGGGCCTTTTGGAAAAACTTTGCGATAAGCAACTCTCTCATGTTCTCGCAAGCAACCTGCACGATAGAGGAGATTTGCATGAGCGTGCAGTGCCACTTCAACAGCATAATTCGTCCCCATAGCGAGAGTGCGAAAACAGCCCACCACATCGGTGCCACGCAGCTCTTCACTAAAGCAGTGCCAGCCTTCGAACTCTTCTCCTTTAAACACCCCGTGCAAATGATTTCGAACAGCATGAGAACCATCTACCCGAAACCCGTGATAGTAGTTGGTGAGGTCATCCGAGCTGATCGTCAGGGCACTGGTGTCGGGGATGTAAAGCTGGCAAAGGAGACTGCTATGTGCAAGGGTATGGGTGGCTTCCGAAACCGAAAAAGATCTAGAATTCTCCGGGATGGGGTTCAGGATCTGTCGGTCAACGGATTCGCTCTTGAAGACAGCAAATAATCCACACCTATACCGATGTTCACTGAGAGCAGCTGGAACCAGATACAACGAATGGACCTTGTCCCACTTGCGGAAAAGTTCTAGCTGCTTCTGCCGGCTGCAATGCACCCGGGCGAGCTTGGGCCGCACCCACTGACAAGACGGTAACCTAAAGGCTCGAGGATCTTGAAGGCCAGCTCGAAGCAAGGGATCAGTAAGAAACCGCTTCGCATCAAACTTAGGGGACTCCTCAAAGTTAAGCCTGGAGGGTTCAATCGTCATGTTCGATGCCACGGGTGCCGCCCTGCCCAAAGCTAAAGACTCAGTCGGAGCCGGCGCCACAGGCTCACTCCACTCATCTGTGCCTCGAGCAGCTTTGGAATAGGGCTGAAACTCCGAAAACAAACGTTGACTCATCTGGTGTACATGGCGGATTTGATCGCTGATGCTCTGAAGCTTCTGCACAGAGCGACCTAGCCCGCTTTTGGGCCCGTGGCCCAAGCGGAGCCAAACTGCGGCCCAGCGTTCCAACCTGCAGAGCATCACGCGTTGCTGATTGGACCAGGGCAGCAAGGCAGCTGACGGGGAACTCGGGCGATTAAGAACCAACCAATTGTTCGCTGCAACAATGTGGCGACATACAAGTCGATTCACCGCTCTTGCCCTCCACAGCGCCTCGCGCCGGCCACCAAGGCGAGTCCTAGGGACAGCCAAAGGTGGGGGAAGAGCGCAGGGCCACAGCTCGGTGGAGCACCGCGAGGCAGTACTCGGAAAACTTTGTGCAAGAGATAACGCAATGAAGTTTGACAACCTGGTTTTACATCTGGGCAAAAACCTCGAGATTGCTGTACTTAACCTTGAGGCACTAATCGATGAATCCGGGCCGTCAGGAAAAAGCTGAGGCAGGAGCCAGGGAGAACCGTTCAGGAACTGGGTCTGGGTTCGGCGGTGCTCTCCTGCTTCCGCTGGCCTCGTCTGCCCTTTCCTTTCGAGCTGGGCTCGGGGTTGCAGGGGTCGATGGGAGCTGCTGGGATCGGCTGGTGCGCTCGCTGATCAGATCTGCATCCCTCAGGTAAGCTAGGTTGGCAGCGATCCAACGAGGGTCCGCCAACATGCCGTGCGGCACCTCTGCACGAGGGGCCCGCCTCTGCTCCACTTGGGCAAAGGGCGGGTCCTGCCTCCCCGTGAGTAACCACCCTAGTCGGGTGTGCCCTTGCTCGTTGGCCACTTGCTCTGCGAACACCAATCCTAGAGCCAGCAATGATATCATCTCCGCCGCCTGGCCTCTTTCTGCAGCTTCCCACATCTCTGCCAGGAGGGAAGTAGGTCAGCGTCTTGTAGGACCCCAACGGGACCGTCTCGGCGAAGTGGTAGTACATGTCGCGCGGTTGCAGCTCCTGGATGGTCTTCCTCCGGGCCGTGGCCAGACGAGCTCGCACTTGAAGAACAACCCGATCGGGATGAGCGGCAAACTGCTCCACCATCAACTGTCTGGCCGCCATGCCCTTCACCCCTGGGAGCTTGGAATCGTCCTCGGCCGCACTGCCGCTGAGAAGGCCATGGAGCGGATCCCTGGACTTCTTCGTGAGCTGCATCAGAATCTTCGTTTGCTGGGCCAACAGTCGAGTCAGCGGATCGCTTGGATCCCCGGCATCCCCGGCGTCGGCGGCGTCCGCCTCGTCTTCCTCTCCGGGGAGATCTCCTAGCATGCTCGGGACAGCAGCAGCCTTGGGTGTAGCCCCCAGCTTTGCACTCGAAGACGGGCGAGCTGCAGCCGCAGAATGGGACCCCAGGTCCGCCAGACGTTTCGGGCCTCGGCCCGCCAACGAAAGAAGATGCTGCATCTGATCTGTTCCCAAGCTTGCCTGCCCGCCCTGGGCGAACAGCTGCGGAGCCCAAGCCGGAGCACCCTCGGCAGGAGGGGCGGCAGCCGGAGCTCTCGCCGAAGGATTCGGCTTCTTTTCCAGGTTGCTCAATCGCGACTCGATCTCGTCCAGGCTCGACAGGCGTCTCTGGATGCCGTGCAGCACCCCGGCTTGCGAGCTGCTCTGCTGGAGGAGCTGGTGCAGCACCTCCGAAGTACCAAGATCGAGGCCGGCTCCGTCGGGAGCGGCGGCAGGAGCCTCCGGCACTTCTTCGGTGAAGTAGCCCTCCAAGCGATCGTCGATGTCCTCGCCATTGAGAAAATGCTCTAGAGCTTCCAGGGCACGAACACGGGCCGGCCAAACACTCTGGAGGCGCACCACCCCAAACGTTTTGACAGCCCGAGCTGGGTCCGGCTCCGTTGCCAAAGCACCGGCTTCCGAAGCCTGCAGATCGATAAGCAGACAAGGAATAGTGCTTTTCAGCTCTCGGCCACTGGCTCCCACGGCAGTGATGTTCACCTGAGTCCAAGGACCTAGGGAGCCGTTGTATTCGTCGGCAGTCGCCTGAGCCAGCTCTTCGTCGCTGATGCCACCTTGGGGGAGGCAGAGAATGAACTCCGCCGGGATAGCCTTCACGACAAACGCTTGAGAGCATATTTCGCCACGAGTGTACCATAGCTTGCTGTAGCCTGCGATCGCCTCGGCAGTGAGATAGGTGCCGAGGTACTCAGGAGATGCAGTCATTGATCCCGCCTTTGAGGCAAGCCCTCCAGGCCGGCCCCGTAGCAGAATGCCTCTGCCTCACTCTGTGTTGCAAATCCGTGGGACACCGCTTCGGGATCCCAAGAGCCCCCGGGTCCAGTCTTGACGTACTGGAAGTAGACGTGCTTGTTGAAGGTGATGAAAGGCTCGTCTGCACCCCCGCAAAACAACACGACGTAGCAAACCTTGCGACCCCCGATGCTGTCGGAGCGGTAGCACGTGGACTCGCCACGCACTATAGCAGCTGCCTCCCGGCCGCGCCGGTAAGCACCAGCAATGCGATCCGCTGGGCTGCCCAAAGCCCCAGAATGCAAAGCGCGGCTAAGCCTAAGAACCGAACCTGGGCAAGTAACAGAAGTGTCACGGAAAGCCCAAGAGAGGTTCCGAGCCAAGTTGCCAGAAGATGCAGCAGTGGAAGCAGGAGGCTCAGGAGCTGAAGATGAAGAAGCAGCCGGGGTACCTCGCCGCTGTTCGCCCTGATCAGTCGAGATAGAAACCGAGATTGTCAGGGAGCGCAATTGAGATGCCAAAAGGTGTATGTTCAGAGGGTCGGGGTCACTGCTCATGCACGTGGCCGGGGTAGCGGGCCAAGCGCTGACCACCAGCAGCCACAGGGGCGACTGGAGAAAGTTCCCTCACCACTGATCCCACACAAGCCCAGAGGATGTTCCGTGCAGTGCGGCTGAGAATAATCCCAATCAACAGAATGCCGAAGATCAAGCCGCACAGCCAGCTAACCAAGATGGCCAGCAGAAAATCGCTAGAGCTATGGCTCGAGCACCCCAGCCACCCGAGAAGGAGTGGCCAGACCCCGGGCCTATCGAACATTCCCTGGATCCGAAAAGCTACGAGTGCAAAGTATCAACTGCAATCGCTGCAAGTCAAACACGTAGGGCCATGCACGATCCAGGCTTGCAGACTCGGGCATCGCGGATCTAAGGATCTCCAGACCCTACTGTCGGAGCACCAGCTAGTCGCAACCAACACTTGGGGAGTGCATAGACCAGCCACCCACGAACAAGGCAACTCTGTTTCACAGATTGACTTCTCGTTTGTCAGGATTGCACAGTCCCAAGGCCCCGCCAGGTTTTGCCGGCCACTAAGGACCTTCCCAGTTGCATCCTGGAGGGATGGTAGTAGGCATTTCCCCCTTCTTGGTAAACTGAGGCACAGCAGGAGATACTCCGCCCAAGCCTCAAAACCCTATGACCAGCAGGCAATGGAGGACTGCTACAGACACCGTTCCCCGAAAATACAGGCATTTGCCAGGGAGGTAGACTCCCTCCTTCAGGATCATCCCCAAACCTGGCAGAGTCTCCATCAAGCAATGAACTCAGCCCTCGCGACTCACTTTCCCAAGAGAAAGGAAGCAGCACAAAGATCAGATCTCAGCATCTGGGAAGAGCGCTCTGTGTTGCGCTCACTCCCACTAGCAGTCAAGGTCTTAGCAGAGTTCTTGCCCGAGCTGCAGGTCCGTATGGTGTTCCGATGCTGGTGCTCGTTCTCCCAGCAAAGTGCACAGGCGAGGGTAGCAAAGCGTCACAAGCAGGAGCGGCGGCGGCAGGAAATAGATGAACAACTCCAGCAGGCAGAGCTTAAGTCCAAGCAGGACGGGAGTCATTCCCTTTACAAGGTAATCAAGCGCTTCAGGTCGGGGAGGCCCCAGGAAAGAGTTCAGCTTCGTGATTCTGAGGGTCGCTTCCTTACTGCCAAGGAAGAAAGAAGACAATTAGAGGAATATTCCCTAGACCTGTTTGGAGCAGGGGATGACTTCCCGCTTTCAGGGATACAAGGCAGCCTGCACATCACTGAGCAAGAAGTGCAAGAACAGCTTGGCACAATAAAGCTGGGCAAGGCGGTTCCTAAAGAGAGTCCTCCCGTAGTAGCCTGGCGCTCCCTAGGTCCCCAAGCAATCCGGCTAATCTCGGACACCCTTAATAGGGAAGTCACTGCAGGAAGGCTCTCGGACAGTGTCACCTCGTCACAGATCTCCTGGCTCCCAAAGCCTCCCAAGAAGCCAGACAAACCAACCTCACTCCGTCCGATCGGGGTGATAGCACCTGAGGGTAAGGTCCTAGCCGGACTCGTGAGGAAGAGACTCAAGTCTACCCTCCAGCTAGCAATGACCGGCGTCTCTCAGTTCGGCTTTGTCCCAGGCAGGGGCACAGAGGAGGCTATCTGCAAGGCCCTCACACATGTGGACCAGGCCAGGTTCAGACAGGCCCTCACCACTAGGGCTGCAGGTAAGGGACAACAGGGGCTCAAGCTCAGAGGCAGTCTCACCATGAGCGTGGACATGAGCAAAGCTTTTGACACTGTAAACAGGCTGCGATTAAGAGAGGCCCTGGAAGCCGAACAAGCAGATCCTCTTCTGATAGAGGTGGTAGGCCATCTCCACATCAAAGCCTTGTACAAGATGACAGCCAGCGATCAGAGCTTTGAGATAGCCACACGCAGGGGAATCAAGCAGGGATGTAAGCTAGCACCCTCTTTATTCGCCTTTGCATCAGAGCTTCTCTTTAGGAAGCTCTCTGGGAAAATCAGCCCAGCAGAACTAGTGAAGCTCCTCACAATGTACGCTGACGATAGCTTGATCCAGTCGCATTTCGACTCTGAGGCCGGCCTCATGACAGCACTAGGGTACTGCGACCTGCTTCTGGATCAGCTGGTAGAGCTTGGGTTCAAGGTCAATCCGTCCAAGTCAGCAATTCTGCTACAGCTGCAAGGGGGCTCAGCCTCGACCATTAGGAAGAAACTCTTTCGCCAGGTCGAGGGAGAGAAGTATGTTGAACTCCCTTCGGGCAGGCTGATATCGCTGCGCTATCAGGTCCCATACTTGGGGGTCATTCTTTCTTATCACGACTATGAAATGAAGACTCTCAAACATCGGCTGTCATCCAGTAAGCTTGCAATGTCAGAAGTAGCCCATGCAGTTCGGAACCACCGAGTCTTATCAGACAGACGTCGTCTGTCGATTTGGACAATAACTGCGTGGGCCTCTGCTCTGTATGCACTCCACGTGGTGGGGATGACACAGCAGGGATTGCAAAAGCTCCATTCACACATGATGTACCAACTCAGATTCGTCCTGCGGAGTTACTCCCAGGAAACGAAGGAATCAAACCAGGAGTTACTCCGGAGATTACGGGTTCCCCACGTGAAGGAGCAGCTGCAAAAGAGAATGACCCAGTTTATAAAGAGACAGCAACACTCCGATCCCCAGCTTCTCCCACACTATAAGTTGCGTGCTGAGGCAGTTAGCCAGGCATTGGAAGGCCTCTCCACGGACTTCTCCTCGCACCATGTGGAGGATAGGCTTCTGACCTGCGGTGAATGTGGAGCATGTCTCTCTGGCACCGGAGCACTCCGTCGCCACCTGCAGAAGGCTCACCCAGATTCTCAGCAGTGCCTGAAAGGACCCAAATTTGATCCTATTTTGCATTCAATGCCAGGGTCAGCAACTTGCATCGCCTGTCGAGCAACATTCCGAACAGTGTTTTATCTGCGCAAACATGTCGAAGCATCTACCTGCCCTAGGGTAGAGCTTTTGCTTAGACAGCAGGAAGAGCTACCCTTAGAAGCACAGAACCGGATCTCACTCGTAGAAAGTCTACAGTCTGATGCCCAGGACAATCCAGAAGGCGCCGCTCGAAATCCGGCGTTCCATGATTACCTGATGGAACACTGCGCACTCTGTGGTCAGGTCCTCGTAGGCCAGAAAGGAGCCAAACAGCATTTAAACAAGCAGCATCCTGAGGTGATGGCCAAGCTGGAGAAAACTCTCCAACCAAGACTCAATCAATTCAAGGTCTTCTTCCACAAAGGAGATAGCTGTCGATACTGCAAACTTCGTGTGGATGCCCCGGGTAGACATGCTCAGCAGTGCGTTCCATTACTGCAGGTGCACGTACTGCAGGAGGTAGCGCGCCAGCAGCTCAGCAAGCAGCCCCGCGAATATACTCGAGCAAAGTCCACGGCATCGGCGAAGACAGTCACAAAGAAGCCTTCAGATTCAACGCCAGGAATTCCTCACCCCGTGTTTAGACTGGAAGGCTTTCTCCTGCTAGCCAATACTCGCAACCACTGCTATGCCAACTCAGGTCTGCAGTGTCTCCACTGGCTATCAGATCCTTCAGAGGCGACTTTTCAAGAGGCATCCCGGATCAGTCAGCTTGCGAGAATAACCCCTGAACACAGAGTCTTCTCGGAGCTCACCATGGGCTGGCTCTTTGACGGAGGCCAGCACGACTCTGCTGAGTTCCTGCAGCAAGTGTTTCGGAATCTCTCTGCATCAAGATTTGGACAGTGGGAAACTAGAGCCTCAGTACCGGAAGGCGTGATAGTGGACGAAGAAGGGGGCTCTCCCATTCATCTTGCCACGGCGATCAAGACCAACCTACAGGACATGCTAGTGGCATGGTCGTCTCAGGAGCGCTCATGTGCTCTCATAGAAGCTGCACAGCAGGTGTGCTTAGCCTTGCCGAGATTCGCAGGTGAAGCTAAGGATCACACTCGCATCACAATCCCACAGCAAGTCCAGATCCCTGTCTTCCTGGACCACACATCCCGAGTTTCGTTCTGTACCTACACAGTAGAGGCAGTGATCATTCACCTAGGAATGGAGTCCACTAGTGGCCATTACCGTGCAGCTGTACGCACAGCAGATGCCTGGTATGTTGGTGATGACTCCCACCCCCCTAGTCCCTGTACCCTCGAAGATCCCCTGCTTCAAGAAAATAGCTACGTCATCTTCCTAGCTCGCAGCGCCGTCTCTCACGAGCCCCAGGACGTAGCCAATTTCCCGAGTAATGTCTCTGCAAGAGCTCTTCCAGCGAGCATCGATGGATGAGAGCTCTGCCCCTAAACGGGGAGACGCAGGTCCGTCAGGTGGAGATTCTCCCCTGAAGCGACAGCGTGGTGGAGGTACTCCCCAGCAACGAGGCAGAGGACAACCCTCCCTTAGGAGGAGACTCTCCCCAACAATCGGAGGAGTTTCTCCCCTTGCCATGTGTGTACAGCTGGTGGAGTTTCTCCCCAGGGGTTTTTTAAACGGTAGGAGAGCATCAGGTGGCAGCCAGTGATACATGGCAACCAAGCCGGTTAGCTTTCAAGCTAGTGCCGAAATCATAAGGCCGCATAAGACTCTGACGACACATTCGCTTCCCACTTCACAGCTTGCAGCCCTGAGGGGCGGAGCGTGTGCCCTGAACCCTCCCGGTCTGACTTCTGAGCTCTGAGGTCGCAGCTTTAAACGATGCCACCATCTCCCGACTCCTGATGCAGGCCGCGCGCGGTTTAGGGTTTAGGGCTTAGATTTTCGTTCATTCGTCGGGAACCGTAAGCCGTACCTGAAGGTTCATGGGACTGAGCAACTAATGGTTGTAAATCAGGGAACTGTACTTGTAGTTTCTTATTATACTTACTTATAACATCAATTCAGGTACTTATAACAGTACTTACTAAGTCCCATGAACCCTAAACCCTGAACTCCCTCAAGCACCTGCTTCCTGAGTTCTAAACCCTGAACGGACACATGCTGGGGTTTAGGGTTTAGGGTGATTCATAT